GAGTGTCCCACAAAGAATGTCCTTAATGGTAGCTGTGATCGTCTATGTGATAACGTGTACATGATGTCGCGCAGGCGACTCTCATCCGCCAGTTGCATGGCGGCATTGAGTTGAATAGCCTGTTCTCGGAGGGATTTTTCCGAGTTGGCCGACAGAACGACAGGGGTGACAATAATATCACGAGGAGATTGACCATGTTGAGCTGCCTCAAAGTTTTCGATGATGGCGTGTGCGTTCGTTCCTCCAAAGCCAAAAGAGTTGACGCTGGCTCGACGAGGTGTGCCCTCTGGCAACTCGGGCCATGGGAGAGCTTCGGTAGGAACAATAAGATTCTTTGAGAAACGTTCAATCTTGGGATTCAGTTTCTTGAAACCCATGTTTGGTGGAATAGTTCCCCTTCGCACAGCCTCCATAGTTTTGATGAGGCCAGCGAGACCGGCACAACCCTCCAAATGTCCGATTGTGCTCTTGACAGATCCAACATATATATTGCCTGTGGTATTGGAGGTGGACTCCTCACCGTCAAAGAAGGCTTCGTATATAGCGCGAGCTTCGATCGGGTCGCCAGCTGGGGTTCCAGTTCCATGAGCCTCGAAAAACTGGCACCGCTCCAATGCGAGATCAATGCCGGCCGCCTTGTACGTCTGTCTTATCAAAGCCGTTTGTGATTCTGAACTAGGCAACGTGATGCCGTTCGTGCGACCGTCTGAATTGACCCCAGTTTCTCTGATGATTCCATGGATGTAATCCCCATCCTTCAATGCCTGCAACAGCGTCTTCATTATGACTGCGGCAGTTCCTTCACCTCGGCCATAGCCGTTTGCCGAAGCATCCCACATTCTGCTACGCCCTGTTGGAGACAGCATATGTAGGTTAGACTCGGATATCATCATCTCAGGCCCAAGTATCAAGTTGGCTCCAGCAGCACAAGCTATTGTCGATACACCTAGTCGCAGGGCTGTGACTGCTTCATGAACAGCAACCAGACTTGATGAGCACGCTGTGTCAATCGTCATAGAGGGACCTTTCCAGTCGAAGAAGTAGGACAACCGATTTGACAGTATGCTTCGAGCCGTTCCCGTTGCCATGTATTTGGGCATGTCCTGCGGGTCACGCAGAAGCATCTCGTGATAGTCGCCCGTCATGCTACCGACATACACGGCCGTATCGGACCCCTTAAGATCTTCCAACGGAAGTCCTGCCGACTCAATGGCTTCATACACCGTCTCAAGCAACAACCTCTGTTGTGGATCCATAGCCTCTGCCTCCAGTGCATTGGTTCTGAAGAAAGAGGCGTCGAATAGCCGTATATCTTCGGAGAGCAGATAAGCCCTTTTCACGTCCGTGCAGCCACTAGCTTCTCCATTACTGTTGTAGAATGCATCAGAATTGAATCTATCTGATGATATGGGCTTCTGGACGTCTCTCTTCTCGCAAACCAGGTCCCAGAGTTTTGATGGGCTGGTTGCTTCCCCTGGGAAGCGGCAGGCAACACCAACCACCGCTATTGGTTCCCGGACAATGCTATTTTGTGACATTCTGATAGAATTTGTATTGAAAAGAAGTCTTCGTATACAAGAGGGATGGTCAGGCGTAAACGAGTGATGTGTAATAGGTGGAAAGTGGTTGAGCTACCTGCTTGTCGTGGACGAATGACCTCCTGAGTAATACATCATGATCGCGACAAGGGAAGCACGGGAATAACTATAAATTGGCGCTTCTAGAATCTAAAGTCAAGTAACCATGATCTATCGGTGTTGTCGTATCACGCCGAAAGTTGGAAAGTCGCCGAAAGACTCAAAGTGCCCCCGGTGCACACAACTCCTGGATAGTTCATGTAAACTCCGTACAGAGAAACAAGAGTTATAGGATACACATTCAGAAAGACCTTGGTGCCCCGTTCTGCTACTTTTCTTCTAATCCATTAGATTGTGCACGTGTGGTCCAAATGCGTCAAGTCTTCCCTTCCACCTTCTTCAATTTTGAGTTCCTTCGCCTTCTCGGAACGGTCCCATACTACGGGGCCGAAGTTGGCGAATGTCTCGAAACAGCGTCTAGGATCAAGGACGGCGACCCGGAGACCTGGTATCAAGCCTGGTGGGATATAGGACAGGAAGTACTTTCCCAGGCTGAGGACGCAGCAAAGACGGGCGACAAGACAGCAGCGAGTTGGGCGTACATCCGATCTGCCAATTACTTCCGCGCCAGTGAATTCTTGCTCCATTGCACGCCAAACGACCCTCGAATTCTTGCTGCGTCTCGGGCGAGCGTCGACGCTTTCAATAAAGGCTGGGTGCTGCTTGACGCGGATGTTCGAGAGGTAGAGATTCCGTACGACAATGACAAGACTCTCCCGGGGAGGCTGTATCTTCCTGCGGCGCAACACAGAGTCACCCAAAAGCTGCCATTGATTGTCCAAACAGGTGGCTTCGACTCTACCCAGGAAGAGTTGTACTTTTACGGCGCCGCTGGTGCATTGCCCCGCGGGTATGCTGTTCTGACCTTTGACGGCCCAGGCCAAGGTCGAGCTCTCCGCGAAAAGAAGCTGTACCTCCGACCAGACTGGGAGCATGTTACAGGACAGGTCTTGGACTTTGTGGTTGACAAGTTGTCGTCAGAGTATGACTTGGACCTGGATCGGCTCTCTGTCTTTGGAGCTTCCCTAGGCGGATATCTGTCTCTACGGGCTGCAACAGATGCCCGGATTAAGGCCTGTATTACGGTGGACGGCCCCTTCGACTTGTTTGAAATTACGAAGAGCCGTATGCCGGCTTGGTTTATCAATGGCTGGCTGAGCGGCTGGCTGAGTGACAAATTCGTCAATTCGGTCATTGGGTGTCTTGAAAGGGTGAATTTCCAACTGGCCTGGGAATTTGGGCACAGCAAGTGGGTGTACGGCGTCGACACTCCGGCCGATGTCTTGAGATTCATGCAAAAGTTCACTCTGCACAGTACAAAAAACGCAGTCTTATCCAACATCAAGTGCCCGACGCTTGTTACTGGTGCGGCGGACTCTTTCTACTTCACTCCAGATCAAAATGCACACAAGATTATGGAGGGTTTGACCTGTCTCAGCGACACTCAAAAGCGACTTTGGATTGGAAATGGGGTCAAGGGAGGTGGTTTACAAGCGAAAATCGGAGCTCTTGCACTCGTTCACTACGAAATGTTCGCCTGGTTGGACAAGACGTTTGGGATTGAGCGGGAGAACTTGATCAACAAGGTGTAGGTCCTGTATATTGATGTTGTCTACTACATTACAAGTTAAAGACTCTGGAGAGAAATATTTTTGCGCTCTTTCAATGAATAGTTTTCAGTGTCTTTTGAAGACTGATAAAAATAAAACCGCTAGTCTCGCATCGAAATTTACATGGATTTACAATAATGCTGAACTGGAGATGATGGACGCATGGATGTAATGCCGAATATCACACACCCTGTAAGCTTACACGGGTCTTATTTTTGTGACTCCACAGCCGGCCTAGCAAAGACATATATTGGATTTGTGGGCAGAGGCGTCAGATTATCTTTCGATAGTCCGTTGGGAACACGAACGTCTCTCGGCCCAGGCCCGTATGTAAGTCGCCGAACCAGACCATCTTGGCAAGCATATATGCATCCCCGGCACACGGAACTTACACTTGTCTTGGCCAATGAACAGTTTGTTTTGGACAAATTAGCACTTTGTCATAATGGCGCCATTTGGAAAAATCTACTCGTTCATGCCAAATGGCCGAGTTTTCAAGGTCAGTTCTTTGAGTCACATCAAAGCAATGACAACCAAATTTGACATAGCCATGAATTAACCACGGGCTCTAGATCATGGCAGCTGCCAAGTTGAACAATCTTGACATTGAGGTCGCAGACTACCAGCACATGGTAACGAACAAATCCGCCGGGTTTCTGGAGAAATTCCCTTTGGGTAAAGTCCCTGCCTTCGAGGGCGTGGACGGTCTATGCCTTTTTGAATCAGACGCTATCGCGCGATACATTGCTGCTTCCGGACCGTTTTCTTCCCAGCTACTTGGCTCCGATGCAGCGACATCCGCACAGATTCAACAGTGGGTGAGCTTTACAGAAGGAGAGATCTACCAAGCCGTACTCGAGCTAGTGATGTGGAGAGTTGGTATGCGCCCGTTTGAAGAAAGCACGGAGTGCAAGGCTCTCGATAAACTCGAGCGTGGTCTGAGTATTCTGGAAGGTCATTTGAAGAATAGGGAGTGGCTGGTTGGTCCGCAACTAACTCTGGCTGACTTGACGGCTGCGTCGGCTCTTGTGTGGGCGTTTATGCATATCATCGATGAGCCAATGCGCGAAGAATTCCCCAAGACGACGGCCTGGTATTTGCGGGTTATCGGGACGACTGGCATTGAATCCGTGTTTGGACCACCAAACTTGATTACGGCCAGGCGTACTGGGCCAACCTGTTGAGCGGCGATATACACGTTTGGGACTAAAGGTCTGAATGTGGATTACAAAGGGTAGACGGATAATGCTATATTTAGTTTCTATCACTTAGTCATTGAACTTGAGTCATGAAACGAGACTTCAATGAGCCTCCTAACTGTGAAAGGAATCAATAGCCCTATTCGTCCAAGAGAGTACATATGTAGGTAGAGTTAGTGATGGACCAAGAACGGATGCACCGAGTAGTAAACGGAGCTGGAGTTCAAGGCTTGTTCTCTGGGCCCAGTTGACAGTTGTTAAATTAGCGAAGTTGATTACTCCCACTACACATGGACTCATTTTCTTTTCTTCAGTACTCGTCTAAGATTCTCCGGAACATATATAGCATTTTATCGTCAATGGTATAAGCACCAGATTGAACAGAGCCTCTCAAATAGCATCGCGTGGTCCACTTGTAGAAATGTTTAATGTTTCGCGATATAATTTTTTGTGAACTACTTGAAACATTACAGATACAAAAGAAAAACCGGAAAAACTGAATAAACGATCTTACTTTTGCCACTTGATCACTCGCGGGCTTGATATCCTGAAACCTAATGCTTCTTGAGGGGAGCAAGCCCAAACGAGAGATTCTCAAAGTCTAGCTGGACATAAAGTCGTTTGAGAAACGCACCTCCCAGCAAGAGGACTTTTGAGTCCCCCGAACTAGTTCGTCCATACTTCCAAACATTTACATTGAGGTAGCACACAGGAGTCGCCGCGGACTCGAGTCTGATGATGTAGTCAGATTCCGGGATTGTGTAATTCTGTCGTCCATCTAGCTCATACACTAATGTCGGCCGGCTGCCTGTACTGTTACACGGAACCGTATACCAGTCTTGGCTTGCTCCGTTGTAGCCCGAAGACCCTTGTGCCATGATAGCTTGGACTGTGGCGTTACTGGCCCGTGTGCCGTTGACTTGTTTTACCAACCACTTATACGCATTCAGCGACAATGGTGCACCCAGGCCTTCTGAACCCTCGTCTAACAGTGCCAGAGTTTGCATGGAAACATTGTTTGAGCCTGAGAAATTGTAAATAAAGTTGGTAGACTCTTCTTCGCCCGAGATCCAAACTCCCGTAAGGGCGGTACTCCAGTAGTTGCTTTTCGGTGGATTATACGGGTAAAACGCCTCCGAGAGCCATGAAGGGTTCTGAATGCTATAAACCTGCATTCTGGATGCGTCATACATGGCTTGATCTGTGCCTCCAAGCACGAATTTGGCTTCCCCGCCAAGGCACGATTTTCTAGACGATAGAGAGGCGCAAGAATGCCAGCCAACTTTGGGCCCGAATACACCTGCCTTCCAAGCTTGGTAGTTTTGTGTGTAAAACGCTTCAGTAACGTCTGGCGTCACCGGAGCCATGCCATAGATGCCTCCAAACGGGACCTTGGGAATGACATCACCGCCGTACGGGAGGTCAGACACTTGAAGAGTAGTGTTGGTCGTGCAAATGTTGCTCACACAAACCGTGTCGGATGCGTAATCCACGGTAAAGTCTGGGGCGAATGCCGTAATGTCCCATTTGAGTTGCGGCAAGGACCTGTTATGAAAGCTACTGGATTTCCTTTCGTTGAAGAAGGCCTGACCATTGTTTCCAATGCACATTGGGATGTTCCACTGGTTCATGCATCGTCCAGACCGCACAAACAGAGAGATCCATGTCCAATCGCTAAGAACCGTCAACGGCTGCGGGGGAGTTCCAACGGAGATATTGAAAAGGTACCCAAAGCCATTCCAAACGGCAGGGACGGCGACGACGTCTTTACGTGCTGTTGCCGTATTGTTGGTCCGAGATGGGCACACTGCGGCAAAGCATACGCAAACGTAAGCCTGCAGGATGGCGAAATGGCTAAGGTGCATTGCAAACAACTCCTGACAAATAATAATGGAGGAAATAAGAAAACTCTACCGTAGGCTAAGTTTCCCCGTCTTCTTCTGTTATCAAGTGCAGTAATTGCCATTTAAAGTCTGAACTCTCCACATCCCCATCCTCAGTTGTCCTTTGGGCAACCCAGCCGCAATGTACCGGATTGATTGGGCCCCCGGCCGACGTGTAAGACGTAGAATCTTGGTTCAATGAGTTGTAAGATTTTTCTACCAGTTATTGCAGGCCAGGCGAGAGCATGGAACGGCTGACTTGGGTGCCGTGTTGCCGCCATCTCCACACATAAGTCGCCGACAACTTCTGGCACCGGTGCAATCTTTTGTTCTGGGCCCTGCATAGAACTTGACTGGATATGTCCATCTACGTGGAGCTCCAAGTTGAGCTTATCCTGGATTTCGCGGCCTATCCGTTGAAGCCAAGCCATGGGGTAACCACGAGTGAAGGTGGTATTGATGCAACTCTGCACCAACCTGCCCGTTGGACTGGCATCCTTATTTGGACTTGGGACTTTTCGTTTCAAACCGACATGGCTTTGCTTTGAAGACTTGACACACGCCGTGGCTGGTCTTGTACTCGCAATTATATGCGCTCTGTCACTGACAATTCATAGACTGCGCTCGGTAGCCTCCACTGTAATAAATTCGGTGCTTTATTCCGTCTACTATAGGCTCAAGATAAGCGGCTTATACATGGTCTGATATCGGTGAACCCAATCGGCCGGGTCATGCAGCATAGCCACATTAAGCGTCTGCCAATTTCCATTCATGCTCCTACACTCTGAGCCCATCGGACGCATTCGCCGAGGGACGTGGCATTTCCGGCTCCAATTGTCCATCGCCTCGTGAAACCATTGTTCAGTTATGGTGTGCTCGCCCGATCGGCCCCTTCCAGTCATTGATGCATACCCATTCCCGCAGCTGAGATGAATACACGAGCATCTAGGCCTGCCGTGGTACAAGTTTTCTGCTGGTCCTCCAAAGTAACAAAGTCGCCCAACAAGTCGCTCAGTTACCACCTACTATTAATCGATTCCAATAAGCCAGCCTAGGCAAGTACTCGTACGGAGCTTTGGAGTCATCGTTCGATCCGAGGGTTAGGAAATAAATTTTAATGCCTAGTTGCAGATCCGTATTATTATAGTATTCATACGAAGCCAAAATCCCTATACACCCGCATCCATTAAACCAAGTTAACTAGCTGCACTCCCTGCAATACCAGATTGGCCCCTGGACTCCTCCGCTTGTTAACGCCACTTTTCGCCAAATCCTGGTGAGCATTTCGTCAAGTGCTGCTTCTTCAGAGTAGATTCCAGTTTGGCACTCGGCAGTCCACAGCAACTCGACCACCTCTCTATGACGTTTAGCAATCGCGCATGTCAGCGGCGTCCGACCCTCCTTGTCCTTGAGGTGAATTCTCAACCCGTCTCTGGCGAGTAGGAGCTTTACCACTCCAGGGTGCCCATTCAGCGCTGCAGCATGTAAAGCAGTTTCACCTTTACGGTTCTGAGCGTCGAGTTCAACGCCGTCTTTGTCGAGGAGAAGCTCCACGACGGCCGTGTGTCCTTTATACGCCGACTCCCATAGTAAATCTGCCATGTTGATCTGCTCAGCGTCAGGTGTCTCTCCGACTTTGTCCAGAAGAAGCCTGACGACTTGTGCGTGTCCGCCGCGTGCTGCACCGATGAGCGGCTTCGCGTAATCCTCCGAGCCACATGCCACCCCATTCTTTTCAAGGAGGAGCTTAACAATCTCTTGATGCCCATGATCTGCTGCGACCGATAATGGAGTGGAGCCGTCCAATCTCTCAGTCTTGATATTTGCATTGCTGTTGTCGAGCAAAAGCCGTACAATCTCCTCATGTCCATTAGCTGCTGCAACGAGAGGTGCGCTTTCGAATTCATCAGTCGTCCGGTTAGGTTGTATGTCTTTGTGACCGAGAAGTAGTTTTACCACCGTTCCATGTCCATTTTCAGCTGCACGATACAGCGGTGTTTGACCCTCCACGTCCTCGGAATTCACATCCACCTTGTGGTTTGCAAGCAGCAGTTTTACAACTCCCTCATGCCCCCTTTCCGAGGCACAGTGTAGCGGTGTCTGCCCAATCGTGTCCGAGGCATTTGGATCAATATTGCCTTTGGCGACCAAAAGCTGTACCACAGCCTCGAATCCTTCGTGCGCCGCCCACCACAACAGTGTGCGGCGACCACGGTCTGAAAAGTTGGGATGAACGGCACCCCTCTGGAGATAGATCGCCGTTATTGTCTGACGCCAATCCTGCCCCACGATGGCATGCCGCGTCTGATCCGACATGGAGTCTCTTTCCTGGCAGCAGAAAGCGCCCTCCTCGGTGAGGAGTAGCCTCAGCACCAGCTCATACCAATTTGCTTCCCAGTCCTCGCATGGCTTCTTGCTGCGCGTGGCCCAAAGATTGGATTTGGCATGATGCTTTGCGAGTAGTTCTTCTACCATTTCTTCGCCCCGTGCTCTCAAGCAAACCTGATGACTATTCCGCCGATTCAGCCGTGTGTCGACAATCTTCTGGTATCGCCCTTTGGCAACCCACGAAAAAGAGCTGCGGCCGCTCGTATCCAGAGAGCAAGCGTCAACAGATTTATTGGCGAGTAAAAGCTTGAATGAGTGGGCGTGGCCCGCCTCGGCTGCCCAGGTCAGCGGCGTTCGACCATCAGAATCTGGAATATCGGGGTGGACGCGGCTCGTGGATAGGAGCAGTTGAACCACTGTGTCCATGCCATTTCCCGCTGCCCATGATAGTGGCGTTCGACCATTCTTGTCTTTTGAGTTGGGGTCAACTCCGTCGTTTGCTAGTAATCGTATTACTATTTCTTCTCGTCCACATCGCGCCGCGTGCGATAGCGGCGTCCGGCCATGCTTATCTCTTGAGTCCGGATCAACGTCATTTCTTGACAGCAACATCTTTACTGTTCTTCCGTTTCCGTATTGCGCTGCGATTGATAGTGCTGTCTGGCCATTGTCATGTTTTGAATTTGGACTAACGTCATTTCTTGCCAGTAACATCGTTACTACTTTGTGTTGTCCAGCTATGACCGCATGGGACAGCGGTGTTTGACCATAAATGTCGCTTGAGTCTGCATCAACGCCATCCTTTTCCAGTATTATGTTTATTATTTTTTCGTGCCCGAATTCCGCTGCGTGCGACAGCGGCGTCCGGCCATACTTGTCACTCAAATCTGGATCGACTTCAGCCTTTGCCAGTAATATGTTTACAATTTTTTCTTGTCCCCCTTGGGCTGCGTACGACAGCGGTGTCCGGTCATGCTCATCACTCGAATCTGGATTAATACTAGGTTCTTCCAGTAGTAATTTTGCGATTGTATACTGGCCATTCTTCACTGCGTGTGTTAGTGGTGTCATGCCATGGCAATCTTTCTCGTCTAGATGACCACTCGATAGCAGTGCCCTCACTGCTGAGACGTTTCCACTTTCCGCGGCGTGCGATAGCGGCGTCCGGCCTCTGCTGTCGGTGTGTTTGAAATATTTGAGTGGTTTAAGGTCGTCCTGTGTCAGCAGCAACTCTATCACGTCCTTCGTCGAGCTGGCTGCCGCTGCCCATGAGAGCGGTGGCCTTGCAGAATGCCCATCCCCCGAGTTGATGTCTGCTTTTCCTGTGGCGAGTAGCAACTCGACAACCTGTCTGTGTCCCCGCTCCGCAGCACATGATAATGGTCTTCTTCGTGATTGATGATCCCCCTCATCTGGCTTGATACCCTCAGCATCAAGCAGACGCTTAACTACCGCCACGTGCCCTTTTCCTGCCGCACAACATAGCGGATTGGGGGAGAGCTTGGAGCTTAATTTAACGTTTTTCGTCTTGACCAAGACATCAACCACTTCCTCGTGTCCGCATTCGGCAGCCAATGACAGTATGCTTTGTTGGACGAGACTATCCCTTACCTCTGGGTAACGAGCGGACATGACAAAAGGCATCTCGGCCGATGCCATTTCCCCAGGGTCTAGAATCCGTGATAGTACCGTTTGCTGGTCTGTGATCCAGAGATTTGGGCAGCTACCCTTTGTGGTAAGTAGGAGACTGACTACTGCTTTATGCCCGCTTCTTACGGCATAAGATAATGGAGACATGTCGAATATATCCCAAAGATGCGGGTTTTGTTTTTCTTCGAGCAGGAGCCTTGCCATCTTTTCAAGCCCGAAATCAGCGGCTAGGTGTAGTCCCGTCACTTTTCTCGAATCGTCTTGGTTTTCTTCCGAATAGGCATCATATATCCAATAATCCGAAGGATACATCGCCTGGTGCGCACCACGCACTTTGGCTTCATTTCTTAAAAATTTCAAGACTTGTTTGTGGTCCACCTGTGGAGCTACACGAGCATGATGGCCCCAGTTTCGTGCTGCGTAGTCGTAAAATGGATTTAGGTCTAATTTAGACCTCAGTGACCTTTCGGACGTACAGAAACCCTCATGGAAGACATCGAACGAAAGATATCTAAGGCAAGTTGTTGCAATGTCCTCTTGTGCATCAGGAACCCAATCGCCGAGAATTTGCTCCAAGTACTCCTGTGTGGTATGGTGAACTAGGCGGATTATATTGCTCTTTTCATCCACCGTCACCAGTCCACCGCATACATTGACCATGGACTCAATCGGCGTGTAGTTTTCTGGGTTAATCTGAGTGTCGTCGGCTTTCACGGCAAGGGCAACCTGGAGCTCCTTGGTCTTGAGTGGCCTCTTTGCGCAGCTGATCCATGATATAGTCCTTTTTGCAAGCTTTTCACAATCAGGTTCCTGCTGGTTGATTCGAATCATGGCATCATTGTACGCCTCGTATAATACGTTGTCTTGTTCCCCCTCACCTGCTCTTTTGTGGCGGTCTCGAAACTCGTTTAATGTCCTTTCCATTTGGGCTGGATTAATGGTATCCGCAAGGGATCGAACATAGAGCTGCGCTAGTAGAAACCTACTCGCATTTCAGTCAATGATTTCCTTTGTGTTACTCGAAGTCACGTACCTGCCGTCGACTGCTTCTACAATGACAGTCTTGATAGTCTCGCTGAGGCCGTTGTCAACCGGGAACTTCATGTCCGAAATGCGGTCCTCTACGTATTTCCGTACATCCCCATCATTAGCTCGGATCTCTAACGATAGGGCTCCCATAAACTTCTCCGCAATTTCTGGGACATGCCGTGATGTTGCAAAGATATTGGCCCCCGTCGCGGCCTGAAGAGCCAATATTTCCGAAATAAACGTGTTTCGGCAACAATCGGACGTCGGGCATTCATCAAGGGCGTCTACCACAAGAAAGAGTTTTGAATACATGGCTGCCACCGACTGAAGGGTCTCTAATATTTCTGAGTAAGATGGTCCCCGTACTTTATCTCTGTGTCGTTTGTATAGGCCCTTAACGGCGTCTGGCAATGCTGAAAACGGTTGACTCAACTGTTTCAGCAGACTTTTGATCAAGTCTCCAGCTTTATGGTCGGACCGAAAGTTGAAATAGATGTAAGCCAATCCAATTGTAGTATCACCCTGGAAAGACTTTTCAAGATGGTCGATAACCATGGCTGAAAGCGTCGTCTTACCCGCCCCGGGAATGCCTGGACAAAACAAGGTCTGGTTGCTTCCATTGATCCACTGCTGAAACTTGCCCGAGTCAAGAAGCCATTGCCCGGTTCCCGCCTGGCGCTTCTGAAGGTTGTCGTTTTGTTGAGGACCAAAACTCAGTGTCGTTATCCATTCGAGGGCTTGGAAGTGTTCCTGTCTATCCAGGTTGGATAGTGCTGTCGTCACTTTTTCCTCAGTTGTCTTTGACGTTTCTAGGGCTAAAGAAGAATTAGAATGCTAGTATCGAGATCAACGTTATCCATCGAAGTTGACAAATTACTAACCTTGGCCCACAATCTCCCACACTGGTGGCTCTCTATCAACCTCGTACGGTTGGACATATCCTAGAAGTTCCTTTGCAAATGCCGCGGCCACAGCGGCGGCATGCTTCTGCCACAGGTTGTTTCTATGGGAGTCAGCGTAGTCGCAAATTCCCCGAATCACCACACATGGGAAGCTGTTCATCAGTCCAGCCGCTTCCGTTTCCACACATAGAACATGGCCACCGAGGTTCCTATTCACTTTATCTCTGAACAGAGTGTTCTTGATGACCTCGTTACCCGATGCGATTAGACCGTAATGAATACGCATATCCCTGGACCCTCTGGATAGTGATTTGCCCAGATTGCAAGATTGGCAGCCTTGTTCTTCTTCGCTGTCTTGATCATGATACCTAACATGGGCGTAGTCTGCTCTGAACAAGACATCTTTGTTGCAATCACGTTCTAGGTATTCTGCCGCCATCTCGGGCCATTTTGTCTGCATTTCTTCAAGAAACTCCGGTATCCTGGAGCCCTCCAGCTCGTGATCCGTCCTTAATTTCGACACAGCTCTGAGTAGCAAAGTAGGCGGATTGTTGAGTGATCCGGTTCTCTCGAAGCCGTCTTGTTGGGCCGTACCCACGTCCCATTGAACCACTCCGGGAAACTGGTCTATGGGCAAACTGACCACCACATCTCCCAGACGAACTTTGGGAGGAATCCCTCCCCCAATACCAACCATTAAGCCAAACCTGATGGATGGAAAGGTGGTTACCATCCAGGCTGAGCTAGCTGCTGCTGCTGCATCGTGGGTAGCTTCTCCGCAAGGCAAGCAGGCTATGACAACGTTGTACTTCGCAATAGTTCCCAAGGTATACGTGTTCTTGTCGCTCCGAGGCTGTGGCAGATCCTCGTGAATGCAGTCCAACATGGCTTTGGCGGCAGTTTGCTCCTGCCACAGACCGCAGATCCAGCCCACGTTGTAGTCATTATGCTGCAGAAGTTGGGGAGCCATTTCTTTGACACGTACACTGAGAAAGACGTTGCCCAAGCTTCAGACAAGATCAAGGGTTGAGACGGTGCGACAAGTGAGGTCGACAGGGCTTGGAATTTGTGTTCAAATATTAATTCAATAATCAACTTTGGGTAATAGAAGCTGATCCTCGGTTTTTCAAGACGCCTTGAGGGGTCAGAGTCCTCTAGAAATACAAGAAGGTAGTGAGCCCTCGAGGCCTGAGGCAGCCCTCGAAAAGGTCCGGCTCCTGGTCCTCATGATAGCTTTCTTTGTTTCCATGTAACCTTTGTGGTCGGTGCCTTTGTTCGGGTCTTGGCCATGTGACAGACGGAAGCACGAGGACGACAATTGTCGAAATGGTAATGGTTGCGGTCACAGAGAGTAAAACGGCAAGGGGCACAACGTCATCGCACCGAAGGCGGAAATGAGAGAGAAGAGGCGGGCGGACAGGTGGGATCGAACCTCGCGGCGGCAACGATATTGAGCTGACTCCTTCTGCTGTGTGATAGCCTTTTTGATTCGAACATCGAAGCCGCCGCAAAGCCTCGGGTACTATTTGTGCTGTTTCTGAGAAACATGCAATCCAATATTCCTAAAATAGACGGCACAGTCGATTCAACACGATTTATTGTCATGACTTGATGGAATATTGTTTCACGGAGGTCACGTCAAGGCACGGGCCGACGCTCGAACCTGACGATTGTCACACAAGGGCTCGAGACCTAATTGACGCCTTGGACTTCCAGGCTCGCTTGCTCACGGCTTTGGGATATAAACAAGGGTCATCCGCCCTTGAAGCTTCGATAAAACCAAGGACCTTTATATTCAAGCGAATTATTAGATGAACATGAAGTTCATCCAAGCGCTTATACATCTTATACACCATCCCTTGTCACAGATACTTCCAAGACGGTGTGGCTGTCACCATCCATAATACCTTGCGCACGGGACAAAGCAGCGCTACAAGATGCCTCAAAATGTGACAGCTCATTGCTGACGGATGTGGTGTTGCTTTGTCCACTCAAAGCACATACCTGACCATGCTTTGCGTATCCCAGCAAACTCGGCATCGGATACAAAAACACGCGTCAATTCATGCTTTTGCTGTTTGGAATGCACCTTCACTAATATGACGCCTAGTGGGAGTGGGAGAAATCATGGTAGATCAGTCGACTTGTCCACGATATCTAGGTGTAGGTGTAGCTAAAGAAGGCTGGAAGCGTAGCGACACCGTTAGGCGCAATTTCGCCGCAGAGGGCTTTTGAGCATCATTTGTAAGGTGACTGGTCCATGCGGGTTTCAGGAAGTTGTCTTCCTTCGTTGGGCATCCAAGGGGAGCGATTGGGTCTGGTAACTTGACATTACATATGCGGGCAGAAGTCCGGTGTAGTCAGTCTAATATTTGACCTGTCAACCTTGAACTGCCATGGCGCACAACCCGGAACGCGGCGGCACTTGTGTTGAGCTCTCCTCGCAGATGATGCAGCTCTTGTGCAGCTTCACCTAACTGAGTCTCGACCAGACGCGATATGCATCATATATCAGCGCCCAGGGCTGGCCGCGTGCGCTCGGCTTCCTATTCTCCGATATCATACTTTTATCCTCGCTTGGCATGTTGTCGAACCCCCAGTAAATGTTGAATCAAATGTCCGGCCCGTTCCGTCCCTGGCGCCATTTCAGATCTTGTTCCCCCGAGGTCTGAGATATCGGACTTGGCGTCCCGGGAGCGGACAATGGCACATTGCCCGAAGAAACGGGACCATACATGTCAATGGTAGCCACCCTGCGGCTTGACTCGATGCTGCGGCTTGACTCCAGTCGGTCTGGTGCTTCCGATTGACTCGGTGCTGCCCGCTTCTCCGGAATCACGCAAGAGCCATTGGATGAGTCGGAGACATGCTGCACAGCCGCATCAATGTCATGGCCTCCGGAGAGGCGCCAACGTCCTCCGTTCATCGTACATCTCGTCGCACATCGTCAGCCAGCATCGGCTTTGACAGGTCAAACTCCTGGCACCATGCTGCTCGCCTTCAAGCAGTCATGGCCTGACGCTACGCTGAGAAACTGCAAGCTGATCTGCTTACCCACGAGTATCACAAACGTCGAGTCAGATCGGTAATGCATACCCAATGACTGGCTCACTTTTGCTGTTCGGCGGAATGTGGTGTTTATGAAGGCAACACAAGCGGCACTGTCAAAGCATGGATAGGTAGGGCTGCTGTCATCAGCGAGGCATGGTGAAGCCGAAGCAGCAGAATCCAAAACGCTAAGTCTCGCACGTATATAAAGGCAGCTTTGCCTCATACCGAAGACTTTTTTTTTTTTTCAATACACCATCAAGTTCAGACAAATATCGAGATCCCATCAATTGTTCCAAGCAAGTCCAATACCCCATCTACCACCTCGGACAATCGTCAACATGGGTGTCCATAATCGCCTTAAGCATCTCACCAGAAAAGACGTCGAGGCCCTCCAGCCCTTGCCATCTGAAGGCTCGGCTATTCCCAACAACCGTTACGTGATCAAGCATGAGGCGGAGGACAGCGTTCAAGCAAACAACGCGGATATCCATCCCAAGATCTGGTTCAAGTCGCAGGTTCGTTTCTTACCCTACCAATCTACTACTTACGTACGATACATGAAAATGACCGCCCCTCATAGCCACTCAGAACCCAGACAATTCGTAGGATCCGCGGGGTCAAACTTTTCGCCGAGTCGCGCGATCAAGGCATCGTCAGCAATATTGGAAATGGCAATTGGTCCTGGTTTGAGCTGGCCATCCTTGAGAATGAATCGGCGACAAATCCCAGAAAGACTCACACCGGCATCGAGCTTGTCTCCATGAGCCACGAAAATAACCTCGCTTCCAAAGAGTATACTTGGCTACATGGCGGGACTTTTGACAAGACGCGTGATATTCTCAAGTGGCTCGAGGTGATTTCGTCTTGACGTCTGATGATTCGTTTCGGACACTGACTGACCATGGATACAGGACGGCAATGTGATTGCGGTTCGGCTCTGCGCCCGGTCCTTGAAGTGTGCAACGTATGCAAGACATGGGCACCTCGTCATTGACGTTGGGAATGATGAAGGTACGCGCGTGACGACTTGATGAGAAGAAGGGTTCTGACTCCAGATGCAGACGCTGTACCCATCACGCCTATTGACTGGCACCCGGCCAAAGAGATTCCTCACCGGCGCAACGTCCACGAGTGGTTCGCGGAGGCGCAGGAGCCCCAGGCCAGCAAAGACGCAAAACTCGAACTGTCGCTCTTCATTCCAGCGATGGCCAAGTTCCAGCGCCTTGGTCTAGGAGATCAACTCTCCTACTTCCGCATCGCTGGCATCCACGGCTCTCCGCCCAACGTGTCGTGGAACATGGGCAGAGAGCCAATCCCATACGACAGTCCGGATATGGAAGAGCGGAAGAAGAAGGGCCAAGGCGGCAACTACTGCCCGCACAACAAGTTTGTGTTTCCCACCTGGCACCGCGCGTACTTGATGCTATTCGAGGTTGGTAGTACCGATTGACCTCTTGCGCACTCGATGCCGACCAAGCTAATGGCCTGTATAGTGGAGAGTCGGCCAGCTCATGATGGAAGAGGCCAAGACTCGCAGGGACCATGTTGACAAATGGATTTCGGCTGCGAAGCGCTGGCGCTTGCCATACTGGGATTGGGCTCGCCAGCCGAGTCTGCCTGGCCTAGTGAGCAATGAGAAGATCAGCATCTTGGGTGCCGACGGCACGATGAAGGAGGTTGCGAACCCCATGTACCGATTCCAGATGCCCGGAGCGCGGCGTATGGGCGACCCTCACTATGGCGACTACCGCATCGACGGGAACGGAGATGGCCCGGTAAGCATCAATGACCACCCGAGGAGACGCGGGATCCCAGACAATCGATTGCTGCTGACACGGATGCCAGTGGGATTTATGCATTGGCACCTGTCGCCACAGTATCAGCTATTACGACGACAATTGGCGCAAGGGGCACTCGGATGCCAGCAAGGTGGCGTCGGCGCTCCAGGGACCCCGACTGCTCAAAAATACCGTCACGATCAAGGACGGCGTCTTTCGCCTACTGACATGTAGCTACTCGACTCAATATGAGCACTTTGCTTCCACCAAGCATAAGCCGAACGATGAAGTCGAGGCCAAGGGATACCTCTCTCTGGAGTCTATCCATAACAGTGTCCACGTGAGGCTTTCCATCTCGTCCAAGCTCCTCCGTGTGCTAACCAAAGTCTCGAACCTTTCGAATTGACAGGACTACATTGGCGGCAGTGACCTCGTCAGGGGCTGCGGGCACATGAGCTCCGTCCCCGTGGCGGCATTCGACCCCGTCTTCTGGCTGCACCACTGCAACGTCGATCGGCTTCTTTACCTGTGGCAAACCATCAACCCCAGCAGCTGGTTTGACGCTTCGAGCCAGCTAAATCGGACAGGTACCTCGATGCGGGTACGGCATGACGACGACGCGCTGACAGATCTCGTGCCCTTTCGCCGTTCCACCCACGACTTCTTCGACTCGAATGGAGTGCGCGTTACGGACAGCCTCGGCTATACGTACGACGATGTAAAACATATCATCAATGACAAGGGACAAGTTGAGCTGCAGAAGCGCAACACACATATCAACAGTCTGTACGGTCCGGCACAGCCCAACTTTCAAAACTCCAAGAAAAGGGACGTGGATCCCATCATCAACGTCGTCTACAACCGGTACGTGCCGCCCGATAAAACGTTGGCCTCCTTCTCTTTCTCTTGTCCACTGACACTTGGGTCTCCAGGTATGCCTTTGGCGGCCTGCCGTACGCGCTGCACTTCTTCCTCGGTCCGCTCGAGCGCAACGTCCCGTACCATCAACAGCGCCATCTCGTGGGCAGCGTGCACACATTCTCTGCGCCCCTGACCAACTATCAGGGCTCGACGGGCTGCTCCAACTGCCGGGAGCAGGCGAGCGACGGCATCCTCTCGCGTGCGCAGATCCCGCTCACGCGTTCCGTGCCCGTCGAGCACCGCGGCACGCACGACGAGGCCATGGACCACTTTAGAGAGAAGCTGCAGTGGGTTGTGGTGCTCAACACGGGGGCCAAGGTCCCCAGTGATGCGGTCAAAGATTTGTCCGTGACGCTGCTGCTTGGGGCCAACCAGCTGGAGGGTGGCCTGGAGGGAGTGCCGAGATTTGGCGAGTACGAGGCCAAGGAGTTTGACTGGGACAGTGCTGAGCTGTAGGGTTAAAAATAGGTTGCTGAGTCGTGAATACTTTGTCGCGTCCTGCATCTACCCGCGACGGAGGGTGGTTGGGTTGAGGGTCTCACGTGATCACGTTGGCCAAACGGCCTCACGTGCGGACGAAAAGCCCTCCGCACCTTCTTCCTCTGGCCTTTTCCTTAGACCTTGCAAGATTATCAGAATAGAGCACGATTTTGCCATCCCTGCTTTGCATCTACTTGAGCCTTCTATAATTGGACGGTGCTGCGTTCGGCATCATGTGGATCTGGAGGCTAAAATTGGTCGAGGCAAAACGTCGATGCTTTGACGGAATAGGGGACTACCATCGCGCGCGGCAGCCAAATGATTCAGCCTGAAGCGGCAGGAGCCACTGGTGCTGGTGCTTTCTAATAACCGCGCGGCATGACCCATAGTTTAATGTTTCCATTGGCCGAGCGATCAATAGTTGTGGACTTCAATGTTGCCAATTCCTAGCATGCCTCTCCCTTTACTTGGCTCAGCCACCACACCATCTGGGTTGATAATGAGCAATTGTTTCCAACAGCCGCACGCTCGGATGACATGGCTTTTGGCAGGACGTCATGTATGTACATATGCATGATCAAGCACGATGGTGCGGTATTTTATAGCCCACAAAATGCGGGGCATCTCTTGATCCACGGGTTCGAAGCTGTCAATCGGTGGTGCCAACGGATCTGATCATCCAAGTCTCCACTGCCATTAGTTCAATGTCTGGTCAATTTCAAATAGCTTGGTAAGCTGCATGTGGTACAGGTGCTGGTCGTATGCTGCTGCTGACGTTGGGAAGCCTCAGCCCGGGTTCCTGTTCCTCTGCCAGCCCAGTCAAGGTACGGACGCCTCCAGATAGCTATGTCTTGTTCGGCCTGCTCGACTCCTCCATTACCAAGAGGGTATCCAAAACAAAGTGGCCATCGATGGCGACATGGGCCCCTGACTCGAGCAGCCATCCGATACCACTTGGACCCCGATTGGTTTGCGCATCGACGTTGCCGGTTGCTTCCCCTTGAGCCACACAGATTCGGGAAACTCTAAATTAATAATACGCTAATCGCGCCGTCTCGCGGCATGACCAATGCTGACAAGATGGCTCGCGTTGCAGTGTCGGTCGGGAAACGGGGCAAGCCATTGGCGGCGTGAGGGGAACAGCTATATAATACCTCCAGAAGCTCCTACACCTTTGTTCTGCCCCGACCATCACATTATCCAATTCCACAAGCTACCATTCCCACCATCCAAACGTCATCCCCCGAGCAAAATGGGTTCAGTTGCCAACGTCAGCGCCGATCAGTGGCTCGCCGCCGCCAGCCACCGCCGTTCCGTATATCCCCTCAAGGGAACCAGCAGCGTGTCCGACGCCCGCGTTAAAGAAATCATCGAAAAGGTCCTCTCTTTCGCGCCGTCCTCCTACAACACCCAGCCCGTCCGCATTACCCTGATTACCGGACCCAAACACAAGCAATTCTGGGACACCATCATTGCCGCAGCTGAGCCGGTGTTGAAGGGCATCAGTGAGGATGTCTGGAATGCCATGAGCCCCAAGTTTCAGCTCTTCAAGAGCGCTTATGGATCTGTACGTTTTTTTTTTTTTTCGTCTGGCGCGAATATTTTGATAAAGCATGCTGACAGGTAACAAGATCTTGTTCTGGGAGTCTGGAAACACAATCAAGGAATCCGGAGAGACGCACAAGTCGGCCGCGCACATGTTTGCCGAGTTTGGCGACCATGCCAACGGCATGCACCAGATTCTGGTCTGGACCGCTCTCTCGCTGGAGGGACTCGGTGCCAACTTGCAGCATCTCAACGCTATTCCACCTGTCGAGGCTGCGATTAAGAAGTTTGCCGGCGTTCCCGACGACTACAAGCTGAAGGCGCACTTGAACTATGGCGATGAGGCTACCGAGCACCCTGCCACGCCTGGGAAGCTTCCGTTTTCCGAGACGTTGAAGGTCATCTCATAAGGTGCGATGCGACATGACATGCTAGACAGCGTAGAATATAGATGAACATGCTATTTTTTGGCCTCTTTACGACAGTTGACTGAACTGGTTGATGTTGTGCATGCCACTGCGTCCTACCCCGTAGTGACCTGTTTCGTTTGGGATACCGTTGACATTATTGCTCACAGGTTTCCAAGAGGGCAAGCCCATCGCTTTGTGTGTCGCCTCGGATCTTCAATTTGCGCGCCATGTTGCGAAAGGATTTCGACCAGCCGAGTCGGGTGTCTGCCCGTTTGTAACTGTTGCCGACGGTGGCTGCTTCGTAATGTTGGCCTTTGGGGAGCTTGGTGATTCCATGATCCTGGGCGCTGCAAGGTACAAAAAATTGAAAGAAGCATTGACTGAGCTGGGCAAAGGCCACGGAATTGGTGGTCTCCAACAGCTGCGCGATTGACATGTTGTTGCTTTCGGATAAGGGCCCGTTGAGCTTGGTCTGGAACGTTTGCTTGAAGATCTGCCACAGTGTCCGAGCTAATGTGATAGCATGCCAGCATGACGCTCTGCCAAATCACCACCACGGATGAATTCGTCAAAGAGTCCAATGACTTCATATATCAATATCACTTGGGTCATTCTCAGCTGCCCAAAAATAGTCTGCTTCTTCGACACTGTCATCCAGGAGGGCTTGTTCCTCCACCAGGTTACAATGCAAGGGTTCCTTGTGAACCAAGTTAATACTCTCCATCGTGCCCCAAAGCTGATCAATGCTTATAAGGCAGTAGGGGCGCTAAAAAATCAACTCCACAACTTCCAGCAAGCTGAAGTCTTTCCAAAAGCAATTTCCAAGGGCGGATGACACAACCAAGTCATTGCACTCAATTATCAGCTATTTTGGGAGAGTATAATAGACTAGAGGCTTACTTATAACAGGCCATGACAGGTTGAGCCAAGCTAGTCAGGGAGCGTCTGAGATTGTTTTTTTCGGGCATCGATAAACCACAAGAGTTTTATTACAGTACTGGACGCACCTCTCCGTGGCAGTAAGAAGTCAAGGTCGATTCCGTTACGCCCTCGAAGTTTACCCGAGAATTGACAGCTCCATTTAAACTACCGCCCCAGTTTCACAAAGTGTTTGGAAGATCTCATGGCGCCTTTGATCTGTACACTACCATGTTGGAAATCGTCTGCCACTTTACATTGGATGCCCTCACGCTCAACAACACCGACGCTTCCACCGAGACCAGAGCCAAAAAAGACGGAAATTCTTCTCACATTTCGAAACACAAGTCTATGAAATTATGCGAAAACCCCTTGAAAAACACGCTGATCGGTAGTACTCAAGGTCTTCCTGAGGATAAACAGTCTCTAGATACGCTGGGCCAAGAGTTAATGAAATTTCTGGCCATAAGCCCCTGGGCTCAGTGGCTGGATATGTGGTAGATTCTTCGACGCCCATATTCCTGCTTCTGTATGTCAATTTCCTGCGCAACGAATGCGTGTGTATGCGAATGTCCAGTATTTCATACCACGTCGCCGGGACAGTGCAATTGCCTGCTACCAAGTCGCAACAAACATGGTCAGCGAGTTCCCAGACGCCCACCATTTGCTTACAATCGGCGGAAAGTTAGAGTCATAGTGTTGGTTTCTTAGGAGAGCTATTTGGCATCACTTGGGGTTTAGGGGCGCGGTCCTATGTCCCGCTATGAGTTGAGCCGATGGATGAGAAGTGGCCACCAGAAATTTAGGGACCGTATAAACTCTAAAACTTCAAATGTTGAGTATTTTACGCCAAGACAGCTCCACGGAGGAAATGAAAGTCCAGCCAAATGAGCTGCTAGTACGAAGGTCAATGGCAAGGCCAAGGATGTCCATCGATACCGCATGACCAGACATAGGATAGCTGATGAAGATGGATTGCGAGGTTCTAGGTGCAATCGTCAATAAACTGGACATGGAGTACTAGGCCTCAAGCCATCTAGTCAGATTGTGAGCCTGTAAGTATGAAGTAAATGACGTCAACAGATTCCAGTTATCATAGGATATCAGTCATGGTGGAGGGCTCGATGTCCACTTTTGGCAGTTCCAGTCAACACCAGCAAATCAAAGGTAGCACCCATGGATATAATGGGCAGCCAAGTAACCATAATCCCGCAATAATATTGAACGGACTTTACCGCGGAGAAAGGAACACAAGTACGCGGCGCCGTAGTCCCAGCTTTTCACCGGGGCGTATATATGCCAAGGGGAGCACCATGATCCTCACACATTGATGCGCTGGTTAAGACCCCAAAGCATCTTCCAGAGGACATAATGGCGACCAAGATTATTCTTGTTACCGGAGCCAACACAGGTCTTGGGCTCGAGATTGTCAAAGCCCTGTGTGGTTCCATCGCACAATACGAGATACTGCTTGGTGGAAGATCTCTCGACAAGGTAAAGGCAGCGGTGTCCGAGATTGTGACAAGCTTTCCAAGCGCTGAGGGCCGTGTCACTGCAATCCAAGTAGATGTGGAAGATGATGACTCGATAGCTGCCGCCTTCGACACGGTCAAGAACAAGTACACGCCAATAGACTCCTCCAGGAATGATAAGCCAACTGTCGTTGAAATTATACTGGGATCAAACATAACATGAGTTCCAAAGATATTTGCACGCATTAAAATACACTTTAATGTCTACCTAGCTTACATTGGGGCAAGAAAAACAAGCAGTGCCAGCGGAAGCCGGCTCAAAGCGTTGGGTCAGGCACTGTTGTCACGTTATGAGACTTATTATTAACTAAGCTTTCTTCTTAAATCTATATAAATTATTATTATTATCTTTATTTTTTAAAAGGGTTTATATCTTTTATCTTCAATTTAAAAAACTTCCCAGCTACCTAATAAAATCAGGGTAGCTAGCCAGCCTCTTAAACTACTAATATTAATAATTTTATAATATCTAACAATTACATTAAGTCTGCTTGTTTAACTAATAAAGGCAGCCTTATCTGACAACTGTAGCAAATATATATTAAGCACCATACGCCTTCTTCACCGAGCGGCGCTCCATAAGACGGTTATGCCAGGCTAGGAAGTTAGGATACTTCTGCTCAATCTCATAGCCCTCCCAGATATCTTTGATATAAACCCTCACCACTTCATCCCAAGGGATAAATACGAGGTCGGCATATGTACTAGAAAAATGATCAGCAGCCGCCATTATACACACGTAGTGTAGCAAAACTTACAACTTCTCGCCAACAAGATACTTCTTGCCTTCCAGTATAGTGTTAAGGACGTCAATGACCCTCACAGTCTCATCAGCATAGCGCTTTTTGGCACTGGGAACATCCTCGGGATGATACACTCGGAACCACGAAGCCTGACCAAAATATGGGCCCTAGGTAGACATTGTTAACCTGCGACTGGTTTTCATGCCTGTCAGGTTTGTGGACATACCTGCCCTGACATTTGAAAATGCAGGAATTGCTTGAGGAACCATTTCTCGGGATTGCTCGCAAATGTCAATTTGTTCTCCTTGTCATAAGTCTCGACAACATACTCGACTATGGCACCCGATTCCCACAGAATGAGGTCGTTGTTGTTAGGGTCCTGAATGGCGGGAAGGCGACCGTTAGGGTTGATAGCCAAGAAGGAAGCATCTTTAGGCTTATGAATCGTGATAGATTCGTAGGGAACACCCAACTCCTCGAGGACAATGAGAACTTTCTTGGGATTAGGGCCTTGGGCTAGATGATTATGTTAGATCTATTACCGAACGCATTGTGGAGGCACATACCGTGAATCCAAAGAGTAAGGGGCTTAAGACCAGACATCTTTTTGCAAGAGGGAAGAGGTTAAATTCGAATTGCTAAGATATGGTTGATTGGTAAAATCTGTCAATTCTAGGATTGTCGTCCTGTGTATTTCTGTCACTGTGAGTACAGGTTAATTCAATGCCAATACTGGCAGGCAGGGTTTATTCATACTCATCTCTGTCTCGTAAGATGAAACATAATGACACGTCATAGTCATGATCCACTCCAGAATGCGGGTGCCAGAATGCTTACAAATGTCAATTCGACAGCATGATAATGAGTTATTATTAATTTCTTGACTAATTATTCACTGCTGTTGGTTAATAAGCATGGGGACAGTGAGGAGCAGAGTCCGTCTTCATCCCCCTCAGAGTAGATATAGATGGTTGGTGGCGTCAGAACTTCTAATAGACGAGTATTGATTGATAAGCGCTTATGAATTAACCACTCCAATGCCCCACACTCAAAGCATAGAACGTCCCCTTCCGCGGAAAGCTTGTCCCTGGCTACAGCGTCTATCATTAGCTGGTTTCCCGAGGCAATGACACCGTAGTGGCCTGTGACTTCAATTGTCCCTGGTACTAAGCCTTGCTGTTTCAAATTTCTCTATGATAAGCAGCTCCGGCTAGTCCGTAACGCCTAACTCACTTTTCAGAAACACAGAGGAGTCCTTCTGGATATTGAAAAAGACGACGACATTGTGCTTCCTTGGTGCAGAAAGAAGGCATATGCATTTTCTACCTTGCTGAATATGGGTATCCGGCCACAGGGCCACGGGCGGGCTATAACTGGGTCGTAACAATCCTCCTCCTTGCCTAGCACATACGCCCTCCTCCCGCCGCTCCAGGTGCTGAGGCCAGGTGCTGAGGCCTGGGCCACTATTACACCCCTGCCGACTAAAGCATCGATTTTCTCCGCCCTGCACTATTTAGACCTTACAGAGTTCCACTGGTAAGACATCCTCCATTTAAACCTTACGGGAATGAGGTGCCCATGTTCTTCGCATGGCATAGACTGGTGTACTATCTGCCTTATTACCAGAACTATTAAGAGTTAAACTTGCTTCTTGGAAACTGGCCAGGCAGTTAAAACTCTATTGAATAGTTGTTTTGTACCATCTTGTTTTTCATAGCTTCTTATTTAAGGAGGAGACGACGGGATTTCCGTAAAAGTAATAAATTCCGATTGGGATTAAGGTTCCTTGGGCGCCTTGAAGCATCTTGATAGGTAATTCGAGGTGTCGTAACTGGTGGTAACTTTGTTGCAGTTTTGAATTCAATGTTTGCTGAAGGAAGTTCTGGGATCCTCTCTAGTAGTGTGGTCAGCCCCTTTGCGTTAAAGCACTTAACAAGCATCTGTGCAGCGGAAGCGCGTTCATTTGGATCCACTCTCGCCACTTCTTAAATAATATCCACATTTAAGGAAGCATTTAAGATATCCCTGTGTATATCTTATATGGAAGAGTACTTCTCAGAGTTCTTGCGGAAGCCATTTAAATCTAGCGTCCACAGTATTGTCATAAAAAGAGACCACACGTCCGCTGTGTGGGTCTGGCCCAGCCCCTGGAAGAACTCAGGCGCCATGAAGATCGGAGTGCCGGCAAAAGTCACCGCTTCTACCGTGCAATTACAGAGCCGAAATCTCCGAGTTAGAAGATAAAATGCCCGTGCCGCCCCGTCCAAAGGATAATATCCGGCTTAACATCTCGGTGGATAATATGGTTTACTGCCAAGCAGTCAAGCGCCTGAAGCATCTGGTTTAAAACAGACTACGCGAGGCCAGTGATCGACTCGAATAAACCCTCCTGGACCAATGAATCTAAACTTCCTTTCATGTAGCCCATAACTATCTGCACCTTCCGCCCATCTAGAAGATAAAATGCCCGTGCCGCCCCGTCCAGAGGATATTATCCGGCTTGACATCTCGGTGGATGATATCGTTTGCTGCCAAGCAGTCGAGCGCCTGAAGCATCTGGTTCAAAACAGACTGCGCGAGGCCGGTGATCGACTCGAATGACCCCTCCTGGACCAATGAATCTAAACTTCCTTTCATGTAGCCCATAACTATCTGCACCTTCCGTCCATCCAAGCATTCCGACGCAATATAGTCAACGATATGGGGCTAAGCACTCCATTAGTCTTATAGGCTAGAAGGAAACCAGGAATAAGAGCACACATACATGGCTTATCTGTGAAAGGATCTTGACCTCTCGTTTCACGATTTCCTCCCCCCCTCTAGTTTTAATACTTGCTCTGGCGGTTGCAAAACCTTAACGGCAACAAGCTTGCCCGTATCCACATTAATGGCCTTGTATACGGTTCCGAATTGTCCGGATCCAAGCTCACCTAGCTTCTTATGTCTTATCTTCGGTTACAAGTGGCCTAGCGTGTGCGTTTGCGTCTCCTATCTTCGGTTGCAAGTGGCCTGGCGTGTGCGTTCGCGTCTCCCTACGGGACGGCAAGACGGTTTCTGAATCATCCACGGTCCGGGCTAGGCGAGGGTTCTCAGCGTAGCCGCCTGGCAAATTTTCCGACGAACTTTTCGTCCTCTCCATCGTCTCAGCTGCATTTGGCTGCCACTCCAGCTCGAATACGACGAGGTCTTTTCCCACACCGCCTATACCGACCACAGTGTTCAGTTTTTCCTGCACCAGGATTTTGCGAGAACGTCCGTGCTCGAATGGAATAGCATTATCACCATAGACTTGTGTCGTTTGGCCGTGGGATCTGTCATAGAGCATGATCACAATTCTGTTCGAAACGAACTCACAAGAGGATTGGATCTCAAACGAGCATTAGAGCTTCGCAATACTGCTGCCCGCAATAAAGATATCGGCATCCGCACCACGCCCCAACGTCGCAAGTGTTCCGTATAACTTCGACCGGATTTAGAAGCCAATGTCTCAACCAACAGATCCATCGCTCAGGATCGAGGTGAGATGGCTGTTGCACGGATGAACGACGACATTTTCAGCTCGCTCGTTCAGAGGCCTAAGAGAAAACAAGGCAAGAGAATATGGATAAGAACGTGGGCGTGGACCTGACATAGCTAAGAAATGCCAGGTAAATGTCCATGCCCCGGTTGGCAAGAAGGAAGCGGTGTATTTAGGTCATGGCTGTCGATCAATCACCCAGAGCGATCTTCTGCCTATTTACACGCCGCCTAACTGACGTTGTGCCTAATCCATTTCACAGGATGTAGAGGGGCTGTGGTATTAGTAGTGTTGCGATTGAACTTGCTTCTATTAAATTCTGGCTGACAGCTCTCATACATATAAATACCTAGTGGCACGGTCCGTGCTACTAGGCAGCAACTCTTCTGCGTGTCATGCTTAGTACATGACCTGTACCAAGCCAACAAGTAGTAATGAGTGATGGAGAGCCAATGAGTTTGTGTCCCCGACCGTTTCGAAGCGCCCCGCAACATTGAAAGCATAAGCTAGATAATTGGTGCCGGTGCCGCCACTACGGCGCCTAAGGGTCGGCCGGCATACTGCTTTTTCTCGAAGGCTGGCATTGATGGTTATCACCTAGACTCTCGTTTTCATTTTCATAGCAGCGGAGCTGATGGTTTCGCCATGGCGGATAGTATTAAAGGCAGTGGCTTACCGAAACTCATAGATGAGCTAGGAAAACTCGCCGACAGACCAGATCTACTCCATCACACTATGGCTCGCTTTGACAATCGTCCTCCGTCGTACACGTCTCAACAATCCCACAACTCCACGCGATCCCAATCCCCTACCGGCCCTAGTGAGGCACAACGGCGAGACAAGAGACGACAGTGGCTGCTGAGAAGAGAACATACGGCCTCGCTTCCAAACAAGCAGTTTAGCGATCAGGTCCACGAGGAGACAGAGCGGATCATCAAGGGTATCGATAATCGGACGCTTACGGTACCGCTCGACATAGAATTTGACCAACTTGCTCGTCAAACCGTTGGAAAAAGAACTCCCTGTGCTAGCGGCTCGAGTTGTCCCTAATACAATTGATCAAATACTATATAGGATTGCACTACTGGCGGCACCGTTGATTGAATTTGTATACGTCGATCCCTTCCAGTGCGTCAAGGTGCCGCTCAGGTGGCGAGCAAGGATATAAATCGATTAAAAATCTCAAATCAAAAGGTACATAAATCAACTAGTATTTATATAATAATATAAGTACCAGTAGTTTCCAAGTGTATTAATGACTATTGCAGCTATCGGCTTATGTAATTTGATTACTAAAATGGTAGGAGCAGCACCAGCTTTACGATTGACAGAGTAAACTGCGCGTAGATGCATCTTCGGATTTCGTCGCTGTATTTTTACTTTGTGCATGGCGAGACGATGCCATTCACCCGCATACTCTGTCAGAGTCTGTCCGCCATGGCTATCAGACCAAGACGGCACTTTGCCATGCCCGAGGACGACATGGCTGCCCGCAAGGCCTGGTCAATGCGAGTCGTTTGTTCCTGGCGACGTGCATCTTGCCGGTCGACACAATTTTCCCCCTCAGTATTCAATCCTTTCTTTTTCAACTATGCCGGCCCCCCGCCACTTTTTACGACAGACCAGATCGACATGTCTCTCACGAGGCGTTGGGGGGCATTGGTGCGGGCGCAAAGATGCAGGTAGTTGGTGTTTTGGGTACCGGCCATACCTACCTAGGTATTGACATATTTCAGTTGCCGCCGACAGATATCGACACTGTGCGGCCCAAGGTCGGGAAAGTCTCCGATTGAATCATTGGTCGAATGCCACATGTGCAGTCTGGTGTGCCTACGTGGTGCCGTTACTTGTCCGTCTGTGGCTCAGTGGCGGCGTCACTGATTCGCAAAACTTGGTGTGTCGAGACATATATCTGGTGATGCACGCACGACTTGCCAGACCCCGCATTTGGATCCCCGTGGCTGACAAGGTAGCAGCAGAGATGCCCAAAGGAGTCGCATGCATTCAGTGTCGGACGGTCCAGAGCAGTCTTTGCATACATATTGATGCCCCCTCCTCATCCACGACAAATTCTTCACGACCTTCTGAGCCCCGAAAACCATTTGTGCGACACCAAGAGGAACATTAATCAATTTCAAAAATGGCTACAGCAGTAGTCGTCGGAAGGGCGCCCACGGTGCATTCTCTGCCTGGCACGTCGAATATTCCCCCGACTCAGTTTCCAGCGCCCGAAGCCGTTGGGGACGTCGATCCTTTGGCGGAAGCTGAGAACATCATTCGTCTCCTCAATGATAGCTTTGGCGATGCAACTTTTCAGGCTACGCAAAATCTCTTTGCGAAACAGGGATACTGGCGCGACCATTTAATCTTGTCGTGGAACTTTAGAACCGTCCAAGGCCCTGCTCAAATCGGAGAGTTTCTTAGAGAATGTGCACAGTCGAAAGACGGATTCCGAATCAAGCACATCACAATTGACAAGCAAGGTCCGGTTCGTCAACCCTCGGTGTCCCCGCTCGATGGCGAGGGCAAAGTCTCTGGCATCACCGCATTCCTGTCCATTGAAACAGTGTTGGGCGCCGGAGAGGGGTTTATTCGCTTGGCCCAAGAAGGCGGTAAATGGAAGATATTCACCATTTACACCAGTCTGCGGTCATTGAAAGGTCACTCTGAAAACACCTTTTCGCGCCGCCCGCGAGGTGTCAATCACGGCGAACAGCCTGGGAGGCGAAACTGGGCAGACAACCGAGCCTCGGCTGTCGCCTACGACGACGGGAGTGAGCCCGCCGTGTTAATTATTGGTAAGTGGCTCAAAGGCAGCACATAACTCTGTTCCAGGCACCAACTGCGGCGTTTGCTGACCAGACACCAGGCGCCGGCCAAGCTGGCTTGACGGCAGCAGCCAGGCTCAAAGCGCAGGGCGTCAATGCTCTGATTGTCGACCGCAATGATCGGGTAGGGGACAATTGGAGACGGCGCTATCATCATTTAGTCCTACATGACCCAGTGTGGTATGATCATATGCCTTACTTGAACTTTCCTCCGCAGTGGCCCATCTTCGCGCCAAAGGACAAGATAGCTCAGTGGTTCGAAGCCTACGCCAACATCATGGAACTCAACGTATGGATGAAGACGAGAGTCATGGAAACATCGTGGGATGAGACCAAGAAATGCTGGACTGTCTGCGTCGAGCGCACAACGACCGATGGCTCCGTTGAGCGACGCACCTTTCACCCGCGTCACATTATCCAAGCCACGGGCCACTCTGGCGAGAAGAACCAACCAGATATCAAAGGGGCAGACGCGTTCAAGGGGGATTTGATTTGCCATTCTTCCGAATTCTCGGGGGCTCGACAAGGTAGACGGGGCAAGACTGCCGTGGTGGTGGGCAGCTGCAACTCCGCCCTCGACATTGCCCAGGATTTTGCCGAAAAAGGCTACGACGTCACGGTTGTGCAGAGATCTAGCACACATGTTGTCTCGTCGTATGCCGTCACCGACATTGCCCTAAAGGGGCTTTATTCAGAGGGTGGTCCCCCTGTCGAGGATGCCGACTTGATTATTCAAAGCATGCCCAACAGCGTGCTAAAGGCAATCCAGGTCAAGATTGCAGAAATTCAACGTAACCATGACAAGGACATGCTTCAAGGGCTGGCCAAGGCTGGCTTCAAGGTCGACAACGGACCTGACGAGGCGGGTCTGTTCTTCAAGTATTTCCAAAGAGGCGGAGGATATTACATTGATGTCGGGGCGTCGAAACTGATTATAGATGGCAAGATTAAAGTCAAGCAGGGTCTGGAGGTTGCCGAGATACTTCCAGATGGCCTTCGCTTCAGCGACCAGTCGGAGCTCAAGGCTGACGAGATTGTTCTCGCGACGGGCTATCAGAGCATGAAGTCTCACACGAGACAAATCTTTGGTGATGGCGTTGCCGACAAGGTGGAAGAGGTCTGGGGGTTCATTGAGGAAGGCGAATGGCGCACCATGTGGCAGCGCAGTGGCCATCCCGGACTCTGGTTTCATGGCGGCAATCTAGGTCTCTGCCGTTATTACTCTCGGCTCCTGGCTCTCCAGATCAAGGGGATGGAGGAGAACCTTTATAGCTATGACGAGAACTAGCATGTAGGAAATGGAAAGGCATGTTCTGGGCTATTCCCTATGTAGCCATGGTGCATATTCTTCGTAGTGCTGGTTTCAATATATGCTTTGATAATCTCTACAACCATACAAGCTGTTAAACGCCTTGTAGTCGATGATTGGCTGTCCTGGTAGCTATATAAGACTTCATCTCCTTATTATTCTTCTGACACTTTGACCAAATTACCAACGTTGCGCTGCCTGACAAGCGCATTGTGAAATTTCTTCTACGTAGATTCATTGACTCGGAGCTTACTCTCATGTTGCCCTTCATTGATTCCGTTCTTATTAGAGATAGCCCCCTCGGCACATTCGCCAAGTGGTCGTGGCATGGTCAATGAATACACCTGTGCCAAGGCATGCATCTTCTCCTCTCTCTTCATGGCGGATTCTCGGTTTCCGGATATTGAGTATCCGAGATTGATAGTGATGCCTACGCAGCGAACCATCCGTCATATCTGCGGCTCAGTCTACTCAAGTCCCAGATGATGAGTCGTCAATACTTTGTCTTTATGTCTCTTTTCCTGTGCGTTGCGACGCCTTGCTTGCTAATAATGCACCTACGATTGAGTGTAGTACCATGGACACTTGCGAACATGACAGATTAAACGACAAAAATATGATGAATGGAAGAAGAATGTATTTGTGGATAACCCTTCCATAACTAGTGTTCTCCTGTCAAGGCTCGAGGATAGCTTTGCCTAGTTGGACAAAAGCCAAAGGTGCATTCTATTCCTCGCCTGATTCCCCATCTATCCAAACCAAGGTCTTCATACCCCCAGTCGCATTTCTGATACTTTCTTGTCGTAAAGCACACATATTGATCTTTACTCCCGAGAGGCTTTGAAGGGCAGTTCTGTGCACCCACTCCGGACAAGCATTTCCCCAACGCAGTCTGTCAACGTTGCTTCTCCCGCTCTGAATTTTTCCTCATCCAAATACCCTTGCCGGTAAAGAATGTTCCAAACGTGGACGACAGCGTCTCCGGGGAGGGGGCAGATGACGAGGCTGCTTTGGAGAATCGCGTCTCTCAAACGGTCCATGTCCCTCTGGTCTGCATCAATGGTGCCCAAGTGGTGGCGATTGCCGTCTGGTGGATTCGGGTAGTTCTCGACGATCTCTACAGAATTGTTTTCCGAACATACAACCTTGGCTCCGTCAAAGTCGGGCGTGTAGGTGGCATATGACTTCGTGCCCTCTTTCCCGATGGTTGTCATCCAAATGTTGTGGTCGTTCGTCACCAAGTCGACGTTAATTTTTCGACGGGTATTGCGCCGACTGTTGAGGAATCGAGCAAATAGAGGCAGCGATAGCAGGTGAATGCCGAGTATCGTCAAGAGCGAGCCGAGAAGTGCGCCCTTTTGACACGAAGAGTCTGTGTCGGAGCTCATTTTGGAAAGCGTGCGAGATGGAGAGAGCGTTGCTAGGTATCTGTCCGTTGTGCTTTCTGTTGTTCCCCTTCGTTTCGCTTCGTTTGTTTCGTCTTCAAGCGGGTAGGGAGACGAGGGAAAGAGCCGTTTATTGTCGTAGGAGAACGTCGGTGCTTGGTGATTCTGAGCATTCACGTGCTGGCAAGATGTCTCTGGCGGCCGTACAGAAAATGGGTGGAAATAACGGCCATTTTATATTCCTTGGTTGTAGCGGCCGGTCTGATCTGGCCGTCGCCCTTCTCTCGAAGTCGCTGAGCTGCGTTGGCGATGAAGATGCGTGCACATCAGCTTCCCAACTGTTCAGTCAACGAGCGGCGAGTCCAACCGTACATCTGCTTCTCGGATTCATTGCCCTTTGTGATGCTCGATGCTCCCACGCACGGTTCACACCCGCTGAAACAATCACAGTCTCGAGTGCTGCAGCTGCTTGCTTAGTGAGCCTTGGCCTTTGTCCCAAACGTCTGAACTCGTGCTTGACATTTACAGAACAACAAATGGCGAGGACCAACACAAACAAAGACCATGAGCATGTGATAAAATGTGACACATGCGGCCGGATGGCTTGGGTCACACGTAACACTGCATGGAAAAAGACAAAGCCCCAACAAACAAAGACGTCACCGCGCTGCGAACAAATGGGATACACAAATAATGCCGATAACGTACAGCGCGTGTTTTCCTCAGCCTCACTAAGCAAGCGCGGCCGTACTCACTGCAGGCTTCTTAACAGTCAGAGAGGCGTGTCAATCCTACACTTTTCCCTAGACGCATGGGAGCCGAAGCAGGCAGGCTTCCATACCCTACATGTACTACGCACGGATAATTCAAGACTCGACCAGTGCATCATTCCAAATGGAGAAAATTAAGTGTAAAGAAAGTATATTTGGCAGCAATCTTGTGTATCCTCCTAGAACATGTTTAAAAAGGGACAACGTTCCAAAGCCAACAAGCCAGCCGGCTAGCCAGCTCGCGACGTAGTTGCTCAGGTGCACGAAAATCCTTTTGAACCATGTTTTATTCCTTGCCCAGTTTCCAACGAAGCTCGTCTCAAGTCCGCGTAATTCCCGCCGACAAGTCCATGTCATGTCCTCCGCATAAGTTATGTAAACCTGGGGACCAAAACACCTGGCGCAAAAAGTGTCCAAGTGGAATTTCCATCCCTGAGCCTAGGACTTGAGGTATTCTGTTGGAAATCCCGCTTCCCTAAGCCCTTTCAGCCCTTGCTGACGTTGTTGGTCAGATAAAAAATTTCCGTTCACGAGTCCGTCCCAAACGTCCGAGATGATACCGATGTTGGTGTGGTGGTAGCCCGATTTCCGTAAAGTCTTCTTGATATCGACTATCTTTTTGAACCAGTCTTCCTGCTTGCAGGCCACGAGACTGAACATTTTGTAGCGTGCTTCTAGCTGCGTCGCGTGATTGTCGCAAGGCTCAAAGTATTCAACGACATCGAACTTGTCGTTGTATTTCGGCCCCCAAATGGCGGTCCCAATTTCCAAAGCGAAGTAATTTGCAGTGTGCCTCACACAAAAAACGTCGATTTCCTTTTCGGCCTGGCCTGAGGACTGTTCTGCGGCCGAGGCTGCGTTGGAGGTCATTGTGGGTGTGGAGATGAAGTCAAGGAGTGGGTGTTGTTGTAGAAAAGCTTGGTTGTTTCGTAGTGTGGAAATGTTAAGGAGAAAATTTCAAATCACAATGAGAGGTGAATGGCAGACTTTTATGTTTGTCGGATGCCCGTGACTGCGTCTTTGCGTGGCCGATACATGAGCGTGTTACGAGTTGAACAGGTATCTGAACAGGTGTCCGATCAAAGAACCTTGTTTCAGAGTAATGCGTCATGCATATTCTGCTTGATTACTGACGCGGCATGTGCCTTCATATCTGAACTCGTGGTGTAAGTAGTTTAAACAATAGATGAACACGATGGATGGCAACAAAGGCGATTTAGCAGGTCAACAAAAGGGGACCACGGCGCATACAAAGGGACAATGAAATGGAACAAGGAAGTCATGACGCGGTGAAAGAAACAAGCATTGCACGTGTATCCTGTCCATGTTTAGCGAGTGTTCTCCGCGACGCTGGTCCTCGTGATGCTTGACAATGTGTCGCAGTCAAGGCCCTGATGCCAACAAAGTGTCGACCTATGGGTAGGCAAAGCGGACAGGGCTTGTCAATACACATAAACACTGTTGCGTTCGATTAACTGTTTTTAGTAACTGACCTTAATATCCAACATACCACGTGTTCGACGTAATGCTGCAGACAATGTTAATGCCGTTCCGCATCATTGGGAGTATAACAGATCTCCGGTGTATTGACATTTTAATCCACTTTACACTTTTCTATAATTTGGTTGTTTTGTCCTAGAAACATAGGTCATCCCTCGCACTTGAAGTTGCAAAAATAATGATTTTATATGCTAATATCTCTTCAGAGTCATATCCAGATGGCATGAGGTTTTATTGACCCTGTGATTTGCCCACTATGCCTGTAAAAGGCATAGTAAACAGATGGTTGTATTTTCCCCATCGCACCAGTACATGCCATAGTGGCTTAAGCTCTTGTAAACCCTCAAAATATGTGCCTCCATCTACCCATGCATGCAAGATGTTGATCAGCCAGCGCTATTGCCGGTGTGTCCACACTGCCGTTACTAACACGCTTAGAGATGGCATTCTCGGTCGTCTGAAGTCCAATGGTACAGACTTGGCATTCAACTTAAAGTCTAGATAATATTGCACCGGAAACTGGTATTTACAGCATATGTTCTCCAGGCAGCGGCTATCGCGGTGCTCTTGAAGCCACCATCTACGACTAAGGTGTCGACATCGCGAGCTAGTCGAATGTCTCCATGAATCTGTGCTTCAATAATATGATCAAGATTACGGCTTGGAGAATTAAAGCGCATGTCGGAAGTTCACCATCGCGTTACACGGAAATGGTCTGTTATATAAGGGCTACGATCACGGGACTTAGGGCAAAGTCCCTCACCGGCTTCTTGTATTTAAAGCGGCTTTGGTCAACGAAGCCTTGAGGGAAACCAAGGACCTTTAATACCAAAGACTTTTATTGGATAAATTGAGCTATTGACCCCAAGCCCTCCATCGAGTCCCTGTCACAGCATTAAAGATCCGAACATGCTATCACCGAATTCAACCGCTGTCCAACCCGCATTAGGCAGCGCTTGGAGCACGAAAGTCAAGAGCAGGTCTGGGTCAGAAGTGGTAGCGCTCAATGTCTTCATAACTAAAATCCGCCACAAAACGCAAGCAGTGTCCAACTCCCTATTATATATACTAGGTATCCAATGCATCTTGTGACCAAGAAACCATGTCCTCCACGGATAGCATTTTGAAGTCGGCGTCTGAGTCGAGGAATATGCATGAAAAATCAACCCATCATAGTCGGACCTATTAATTTACTCCGTGCTTTCAACTTATCACCCCATTTTAAGAATATCACCGGAATGATGACAAGAGTGGATAAAATGCCCATCAACACCAGTCCAATGATCAGTGGTCCCAACCGATTATACGCAACCGGCGCCAGCAGTGGCAATGCGCCAGCGAAAAAGTATCGCATGGATGCATGGCCGGCCAGTGCGTTTGCTGCGTGTTTGCCATATGATACAGCCAGATAGTTGGTGACGTAGAGAAAGACCAACATGTTGCCAATACCCAACGGCACACCAGCGAGGATGGGGACGACGGCCGAGTTGGGCGGCGGCGCCGAGACAGCGAAGAGCAGCTGTCCGATCGGGAGCAGTATGCTTGCTGCGATAATGATGGGCAGCGTGGCATCCGGGCTGGCCTTCGCCTCCGGGGAGCTGATGGCCCTCATCAGGCGCCGAAGCCGCGGATCCGCCAAGATGGCAATGACGGCCCCGAATCCAAAGGAAATCAGGGGGAGATCTATCGATTCTCTTAGTTGGAGGCCGAATCAATGAAGAACGCTTATCATGTGAGAACTGACTGGCTACAGCTGGAGGCCAGCCGCGAATCTGAGAAAAGACAATGGGATACCCAACTATGCAGAGGTAGAGAATGGCGTATATAATGGCAACGAAGAAGTCCCAGAAAAGACTAGAAAGGTCAACTCCATGATGGTCTGCGAATTGTCACAAGCTTTGCTATACGTACCAGATGGGCTCTGTAAAGGCCATAGCAAGTGGCCTGCTCAAGCTCGTTTTGAGACGCTCTGAGAATACCATAGTCTGGCTGTGGGCACACCAGTATCTGTCATCAATCTTTTTCAGGGCTTCGCATCGCCGGCGTAAAATGACGGCGCCATGTGTTTCCGGGATTGTTGCCACAACGGCACAGGAGGTGAAGGCGAGGATGACGAGAAACCAATGAATCCACCGCCAGCCAGCATATTGAAAGATGATTCCAGCAAAGACTGGGCCCACGACCGGCTACATAATACTCCCCAAGGATCAGTCACCTGTACAGAAGATACTTGTTTCTGGTAAGGGGGCTCACCCCGTTGACAGCCCCAAGAATCCACACTGAAAAATACACCGTTTTCGTGTCCTCGTCGGCGAGTTCGTTCAGTGTCCCGGGGGCGCTAGACATTACGACCGATCCCGTGAACGCGGCCATGAACCTCGTGATGAGGATAGTGGCCAGGTTCGGCGCCACCGCTGAAGGGATGAGAAGGATCGCAAATGAGAATAATGACGCGATGTAGACCGGGCGCCGTCCATGCATCTCACTCATCGGAGCTAGAACGAGCGGCCCTAGAGAAAGTCCGAATAGATAGGTTGAGACGCCAAGCGTGAGGGCGGTTCTGTTCTCTATGCCGAAATCTTTTGCCATGCCCGGAATGCCAATGGCGTATGCGGTTGACGCCATGATTCTAATCCAGGGAAAGTCAGCCTTGTCTAAGAGAAAGAGCATGGCTGGTGGTCAACTCACACTACGAGCGTCGCAAACGAGATGAATGCCAGGCTGATGGCGCGATACCAGGCCGGCCACTTCCGGGGCATGTCAGAGCCATCCTCGGCCCATGTAACTTCAAAGGTCGGGTCGCGCCCCGGTAAGAGCGTCTGATCTGTTACAAAGGAATCTGAACTGGCACTTTCTGGGCATATTCCCTCGAAAGGATTGTCCCAAATATCAGGTTCTTTCAGGATGTTGTCTAGAGGTTCGATCCACGTCCATCTGCTCCTCTGCGTGTTCGACCTTTGCGGTACGGCTTTCCGTGTGATTGGCCTTTGAAGTATGCTTGTCTGCACGCTCGGCCTCTGAATCATGTCCCTCCGTGTATTAAAGCGTCCGGGAATGCTCCTAGCGGCATTGGACCGTGGTGGCCGGGCGTGAGTTGATGGCTCGGCGAAAGGTTCAGTGTCCTCAATCTCAATATAGCAGTCGAGCAAGTCGGCCGTAGGGTAGTATCGGCTCCGTGTGCTGTAGCGCGAATTTGAACGACCCAGACGACTATGCGTCCTTGCAGGTAGCCGTGGGAGAGGCTTCAATAACTCCATGGGATGTGTATGTTCACGGGACTAGATTCGGCGGTAACCATGGAATCTAGGAGGTGTGCTTTCCATCCAGGTATTCTGGGCAGAAAGATGCGCATAGTCATTGAAACAGCTACAAGCTGAGCTTCAGAAGGCTTTCTGCCTCCGCTGCTACATATACTTACACCGACTGTGGTGCTGCGCATCAGCCACCAGAAACGATCAAGGTGGCCGTGCTGGTAGGATCAATGATACCACGCACATTGACTGTATTTTTAGAGGCAGTACCCTACATACCTAGGTATGTAACTAAAACGAGGATGGTGGACTCTTGGACTATTCTTGGCTTGGTTGCATCATACGAGCCGAGTTGGGCAGGCTCTGGGGTTCGACCTGCCGGCTCTGGGCGCTGCCTAACAAGTCATTGGTCAGCTGCATATTCCGTCACTGGTGCTGCCTTGCCAGAGCGCATGCCTACGGGTCAATGTGGTGGCTTCAATGTTGTCAGACTGGACTTCCGATGGGTGCGGGAGTGGCCATAAGCTGATGATATCACCACTCCCCTCCCACGTTTATCAAGCGCTGATCAAGACAACATCATTCTGCCACGTCCAGTAGGCTTGAAGATCCTCGAGCTGGCCACGCGGAAACCCAGCCCGCCCGCAGCGACGAGGCGCTTTGGTCCTTCTATTTTTAAACAACACATGATTGAGGAAATAGTCATCTTGACCGCTAGCAAGACGGCCTGCCGATTGAGCCACATAGATTCCTATGGGGTTCTCGGTGTCGGGAAGCAGTTCGAAAGGTTCACGATGGTGCCTTGGTTACACCATTGGGACGGTCAAGTCAAATTCCAAGGCTGGCAACTTGGACTGGTGGCAAACATCAAGTCAGTTGAAATGCAGCAGCGGCCCAATAAGCCAATAATATAGCATGTTGCTGAGCAAGTTGAGAAGGAATTTTCCACAAGCTTTAGAATAAAATGTCATAGCTAGTTATATACCTGTTACAATAATATTGTGACAAGGGCTAGAGGTCTCTATACATAGCGTTGAGTAAAATGCCATACTAATTAGCATAAAGCAATAAAGTCCCTGGGGCTCTATCTCCTGCTCTGTCGTATTATTGATCGATATAATAAGAGCCTTTCCACTATGTGTTAAGATCTTGGGACTATAATAAAAGTGATAAAAATGATGTTAGGATCACTTCTATAGAGAGCATATTACAAGAGGGTTAGGGTTGGGGTGGAAGGGTAGCAGGGCTCCAGACTAATGGCTAGGTGGACTACCTAGATATCAAAGCATTTGATAGCTTAATGGTATACCAATCAATACAAAAAAAAAATACAAGGAATTTCAAAAGTCTATTAACGCTAACCCTCCATGATGCTCTCAGATCCGAAAGCCCAACACCCCAAGTAGGTAGAACAACAGCACATATGCCGAATAGATGACTGCTGGTGTTGGCATGTTGGTTTCCAGAAGCTCATCACTTGGCGGTTGCCACGCTTTCTCAGTTCTTGTCGCCATGAATTCCAAGAAGCCTGCTGCTCAGAGCCATGGTCTTCTTCAGCCTGCCCATGAGTATATCCTCCAGAATTTTGAGGTGTGCCGTGTCGGAACCAGGCTCTATGAAAGACTTTCCGGCCGTCATCATGGTCCTCTCCGGAGCTTGCTGTGCGAGATACGGCATAACTCTTGTTTTGTGAGCCGACCGCCATACCTGTAATTAAAAGTCAGGCCAAACAGCTGCTTGGGGAATTGTTGGAGATTACGCCGTACCTTGAGGTGGTTTACGATCTTTTGCGATGCCTCCACAATATCTTTATCGCCCTCGGCCTGCAGCCTGCTGATGAAGGAGTGTTTCCTCAGGCTGGCGCACAGCGCGCGCTGGTTGTGAGGAATACACCTCGAGGCGTTTTCCTGGCTGAGATATTGATCCATGCCCAGAAAGGCATCCAACGCCATGAAGAAGGTGGTGTGGCTTCCGGAAACCCCATCATAAATAACCATTTCGCCGTCTACCATCCGGCCACATCCCCAGCCTTGGAAGCCTTGGCAATAACGGAGCCAGACGGACTTGTTCACTCGGACCTGGGTCATGCTCTGATACCAGACTCTGAGGAGATTGCGCAGTTGATCGCCGATATTGTTCATATAGTTCAGGCATGCTTCTTTATCGTTCTGGTCGTAGGCGATATTGGCACGGATCATCTCTGTATAGATGGGAGCGCCCTGATGATTCCCTGTTAGCTTCTAAAACTCTACAGACAACACAACACTCGTCCTAAAAGGGATGGGAGCTTGCATACCAGTACTTCGACATCCAAAAAGAGTCGAAAGAAAGCCTCTTCGGTGGAGGTAACCAGATCGGAAATCTCATGGTTGATCTTGTACGCCCTTTGGCCATTTTCGTTGTAGTTGAGGAGCACGTTGGAGGTGTTATTGCCACTGTCGGCTGCTAGGCCGAAGTGTTTCTGGAGGTAACCCCAGGGTATATCAAGCTCGGCAGGAAAGTCGACGATTTTCTCGTCCTGGGCGACTTTGACAATCGGGATAGCGGCCCATCTGTACGAAGAATGCGATCACAAGTCAGCCGTGTCCGTCAAGTAGCAGGGGTCCATGTCTGCTTTGACAGGGTGTAATCCCTACCTATAAGCATGGCGGCTCACGCCAATGCAGGAGTAAAATCCGTTGTATGCCCGGCGGGAACAGACACCCCAATTACCTGCTGCCGCCTGCGCAAGGATCCCCTCGACTTCGGCAAGGTTGACACGGGCCACCAACAGCTTTCTCATGAGTTCGCGGTACCGGCTGCGCTTCTCGCTGCTGACGGCATCGTCAAGCGAGGGATCGGCCGACGAGAGCAGGGGGAGAAGTTCCAGGTAGATCTCGTGATAGGGCTGGAGGGCAGCTGGCCAATCGCTGCCATGAGTCGTTCTTGGGGGCCAGCTCCCAGCACCATCTGTGTCGACGAGCTGCAGTAGAGCTGCGGCGGTTTCATGATGCTGTGCGAGCTCTTTTAGGCCCTGGGTGGCGGTCGTTTCTGCCTCCTTACTGGCCGCATGACGCAGACTTCGGTAGAGGACCAGTACAACTACCGCAAGGGCGATCTGTAAAATGGCGCTTATAGAACACATCAATGGCTAATAAGTCTCTTTGTCCACTTTTTTGGGCAACTCGTCTATTCTGAAAGGAAAAGGGTATAAGTAAAAGGAAGATAAAGGGACGACAAAGGGAAGGCAAAGGGAAGATGAGGGAACAGGGCGTGGGAATGCTATGTCTCTTTGAGGAAGAAGCTGTTTAGATCAGAATGGATATGCAATCTAGCTGCGGACTTGATGCTCTTCATATACATATGGATGCCACTGCCTTTCCATGCCTGCTGGCGGCTTACATTTGCGGCGTTTCCACCTGCCTCGATGGTGATACCCCATCATGTCTACTCACAGCCTGCCTTGTGGCTTTGCCATCTGCCTCAATGTTTGTCTGTAAGAAACGAGGCTGAGCAGATAGATTGATGACGGTGCAGGAGCTGGACTGCTTGTGTTGTCTCACGGAGATTACAACCATACACGACATGACCGTCATAGAAGCACGCCCCAAGATTCGGGTGGTTCAGTTAGTTATCCCTGGCAAAGCGTTCGCCACTACAGATAAGGCAGCCCCATACTCGAAATAGACCCGGGTAGTAACGCTCAAGTTATTTTGGATACGGCTTACATCAAGCTTAGCACTTGCATGTGTCTTGGGCACAGTACGGATCGGGCTACCTACCCTGACTATGGACTCGGGAAGTTTATTTAAGTGTCATTAGCCAAGGCACACTGAGCTTCAAGCTTACATATGTAGAAACAAGTGTCTCGGCTACAGGGGCAGTGCCTATAGGGCTGGGTGGCTTTGTGGCGTAAGCTGATGCTATTCAGTGTTGTAAGCCATGTGGCTCTCTCAAGATGTCACTCGGATGGTGGCGTCTCTGAGCCATACCTGACCGATGGACAGCGCGTTGGGCTAACAAATGCCGGGCTGCGACTAATCGGCAAGTCAAATCATGTTTAATCTTGTATGCGTAGATCAGCCATGGATCTCTGTTCGACTTGTCATAATAGCTGTGATAATCACGAGAAGCCGTGTGTTATGACCACCATGAGGAGCAGAGTCTCGTTAGGTTAAGTAGCCCGATTGACGCCTTGACTAAACTGCCATCTCTTGTTGACGAGATTGCCTATAAGATTTACACAGGCATTCCATCATCCGAATTGGAGATGCAAAAAGAAGTGAATAATTTTAAGAAATCTCTGTATTATGGGAAAAAGAAATCTATGCAATCACAGATGATAGCCACCTACCCAATTGCCGTACTAGTAGCCAACTACACGGAAGAAGCCAGATCATCATATGGAAAACGCAGCGACGTTTGTGCCGTCGACCTTGCCCTCTCCTTTCAGCTTGCTGATGATGTTGTTGAATGCGTTCTCGTGGAGTTTATTAAAGTCTAACCAAGACATGAATCAGCCTCGGTTTGGGGTGTCGATGCGGGAAACGTGTACATACCATTGACATAGCCTCTCGAGCAGAGGTAGGTGCTCCATCTAATCAACGTCTCGTTCTCGAAGATGTGGTCACCGGTAATTGTGACCCAGTATCCGCCCCACGGTGTCTCGGTGCCATTCTGGTTAGAGCCCGGGATCGTGGACTTGTATTCAAACTTCTGGATAAAGGAGCCGTCTGTCTGAATGCGTTGGTCCGTGAGCTGTATTCCAGCACCAGGTCAGCAATTGATCATGGAAAATGGGCACTTGGCGATCTGTCGTACAATTTCAGAGAAGTTAAAGATGCCCTGCAGAGTCTTGAACGTTGACACACGAACAGACTCGCCAGGGGAGTTGTTGGGCCCCACGGTCGCGTAGGGAACAGATCCACGCCATCCGCATTCATAATCTAGTCAATGGTGTAAGTCAGTTTCATCTCATTGCGCGCTGTTTGATACGGGAAAACTTACAGTCGTTCATGAGCTCTTGGACATGCTCCGCACTGGTGCCGACGACAGCCCACGAGGCGGACTGTGAATACTGGGTGCCCTCGGGGCAGATGCAGGGTGTGCGCGAGTATGTTGAACAAGGCATGTTGGTCGCCATACCTCGGACGGCCAGGCAAATGCTGGAAAGAATGGTGACGGCCTTCATTGTGCGACGAGGTTGATGAGAGAATGCAATGAAAGATGCGATGTGAGTAGAAAGAAAAGGTCACTACTATGATGGTTGTGATGGTTTTCGAGCGTCAATGGTTTGATCTTGTCGGTCTGGGAATTGTCCCAAGTAATAATACATATGAACTCTGGTCCGGACGCCTCGCTACCGCTCACAAGGGGCGCAGGCAACGGTCAGACATGGAGCCACCAAGACGCCACCAGCTTTCTTTGGAACATGGAGGGCTTTGGTGGTTGCGCATTACCGACGAGTGGCTTCAGCCAGTGGCTTCTTACATGTCTGGTAGGCGCTGGCAAACAGGCTTCCTGGTCCCTATTATTAGTCCAACACCATCTCTCCCGATGGCAATGCCTCACGTCGGATCCTGAAGACTGCCTTTCGTCTTCCCTGCTGTCCACCGGTTCACGGCCAGATTTAGACACTCCACCGCCCGCCTCGCAAGCATATCTAGACATGATTACCTCTTTACACAACTCTCCAGATTCCATACCTCATGGCAGCCTTTCGTAGCTCTGTCCCTCCGAGATGAAGCCCACCACCACGCTCTCCGTCGTCCTTTGCAGCCTTGCTGTTGCCTGGGCTGCACCATATGGCAGCTATGATAGCCCCGACTACCTGCAGAGCAGAGCAACGCGCCAGATTGCCTTTTGGCAGGGAGAATACAATGATTACACGGATGGAGTGCTTCGCCATCGCCAATCTGGCTGCACCCCAGACAAGATTCTCTACCGTAAAGAATGGCAAGTGAACCATTTGATACAACTCTGCGCCGGAGACAAGCTGACCTAGATCAAGGGGCGCGCTCAGCCGGGAAGAAAGACTCGGATACATCGGCGCCGTGAAGAAGCTCATGGAGCTGCCATCTCGGAGCGCGCCCGACCAGGTGCCCGGAGCGCGCAGCCTCTACGACGACTTCACCGCAACCCACATGCAGTTCGCCACTGCAATCCATCACAGCGTATGATGCCCAGCCAGAGTCCAGTCCAGTGCGATATTGATACTCCAAGCTAATCAGCCGGCGTGTGCAGGGCCTGTTCCTCGCGTGGCACCGCTACTTCACCCACCTCTATGAACTTGCTCTGCGCGACGAGGGCGGCTACAAGGGGGCGCAGCCTTACTGGGACTGGACGCAGACGTGGCAAGATTGGCGCAAGTCGACCGTCTTCGACGGCTCGCCATACTCGATGGGCAGCAACGGCAAGGCCATCCCCCACGGCCCCGTCAACGACACCGCGCTGGGCTCCACCCGCCTGATCAACCCGGGCACCGGCGGCGGCTGCATCGAGTCCGGCCCCTTTGCCAACCTGACCATCCACCTCGGCCCCGTAGCGCTGCTGCCCGCCGGCAAGAACAACGGGCTCGACTACAACCCGCGCTGCCTGGTCCGCGACATCTCGCCAGAGTGGAGCAAAAACGCCAAGCCCACAGACGTGGTCGACCTCATCGGCGCATCCACCAACATCGAATCGTTTGATGTCAAGCTCGAAGGGCTGGACGGTGTGCATGCCGCCGGCCACTTCGGCGTTGGCGGTATGATGATTGACCAGTACGCGAGCCCGAGCGACCCGGCATTCTTCCTCCACCACGGCATGATTGATCGCGTGTGGACCTTGTGGCAGAGCCAGGATTTCCAGAACCGCACCCAGCAGACAGCAAGGACTGTTACGGCGAAAAATAGTGAGTAGCCTCCTCCCAGCCTCGACAACGACGCTTATCCTAATTGATCCTTGGTGGCTAACCGCATCGTCAGCCCCGCCGAGCGCCAACGCCACCCTCGACACCATGATGGATTTTGGCATTCTGGCACCAAAGCAGCGACTGGGTGACCTCGTCTCGACTATTGATGGGCCCTTTTGTTACCAGTATCTATAAGGGCCCGGGAGTAGGCTGCTGCCTTGAAGCTGTGGTGTTTTAGGAATTTAGAATTGGCATTGCGTTGAACTCTGTATAGATCGTTGCGAATATCTACATGTATACACAGATGAATATATATATAGATAGCTAAAGGGCAATCTATCTGCTGGTTTTACTCTGAAAGGATAGCTGACCCGACACAACCCAGCCGGCATGCCCGACACACACCCTGAAAAGTCACCAAGGTCCCAGCCCTTGATGCTTGTTTTGCAGTAAAATGACGTCAAATTCGTCGAATTTTGGCAATTCCTATCAACGAGGATTTATTCGACTGTATGAGCGATGCACATCTCATTCAAAAGGCGTTTCTATAATTAAATGTCGCGACAAGTTTTTACAAAGGGATACAAAGCTGTAGACATGTCTAGTTCAGCCGTTTAAGCTGTTCAAATAGCCATTGATTACATCGTCATGATCGTGCTTTGGCGGTTACGCGCGTTCCTCGACCATGGCGAGTTGATCGGGATTTTAAGGCTGATTATCGCCATCTACTGTTGTCAATATCAGGTCAACAGCCAGAGCTTCACTCCCAGCCTTCACATAGGCGATTGTGGTCTTGCTATTAAGCAAGTCTCCATCCGTGTAGTGTTACGCAACCACATCTGGCAACCCTTAGCTTCTGTGTACTTTCCATAGTATGCATGTGTTTCGGAAGCCACCATGTCCATGTACCTGGAGACTGTGACGTCTTGATAAGAAGGCCGGGAAAAGTAGCGGCTGAATCCACCAGAGCTCCCTTTCCAAGCAGATTCCGGTGAAAATCCAACCGTACCGCCGACGCTTGTTACCCATGGGCAAGTGGCGGGGAAAATGGGATAGAATTCGGCAGTCCCGAAGTCGGGTGCCAAACAACCGCTTCCCACTCCAGTGTCTCCGGAAGACTGCACAACTGTTACTCCTCGGAGGCCCAAAAGGCCAATGAGATTGCAGGTAAGCAAGGCATATCTGATCGGCACCGAGTCCTCCTGTTCCCCATGTGAGTTGGAGATGACATATGGGAGGTCACTCTTTGACCGTGACAAAAGCTGCCTGTAGTAAGGGACATACAGCTCATTGAAGTTCCGGCTCTCTGTCTTGTGATCGATATTTGGAATAAATGGTCTAAAATGAAAGTAAGTTATTGAGAAATTCGTTTTGATGCAATACACGTACGGTTTCCCACTGATTATGAACTGCGTGACTGGCAGCGGATGAGCAATACCAACGATAGTTTGAGCGTCCAGGTCGGCTTCTGCAAACTGTGCTGTAGACTCATTCTGGTTATATATACCACCAGCAACCAGTTCAACAGAAATATTCTGACCCGGGATAGCAAAATGTCTTTCGAACTCGAAGAGGCCATTGTAAAGAGTTGATTGATTGAGGAAGCTCGAGAACCCGATAGTGCTTCCCGACCCTTCATGGGGAGTATAGTTTGCTACTTTGTACATTTGTTTGAGACATGACGGACTGATTGCTTGAAGACATGGGTTGTCATCCTTTGATATAACAGAGCGTTGAAGCGGCTCACGAGCTCCGTATGGACGAAGCGATAGTGGCATAGAATTTGGCACTCCTAAATAAGTTCCAGGAGATATGAGCAGAGCGCTGTTTTGGATTCTTTCGGGGACAGAATAGCTCGCCGTTCGAAGCTCTGTCGTCACATTATTCGTGTAGTAGTGGTATGACGCGTTCAAAAGACTGTCTGCTGTAGCAATAGTTGTAGTGAAGTCAATGAATATCCAATCGACTGTGTAATTGCCAACACCTTCGCCTTCCAGCCAATCCAGGGTGATTGAGACAGCGATATGAGAAGGTGCAAATTTTGAATATACATCTGCTTGATCCCAATGTTTCCCATAATTGGGGCCATTTGTATCGGAGATATCCAAAAGCTCTGAAGCCAATAAGTCAATATTTTCCATGTTCAATGCCAGAGTGAACGTAGCAATAGTATCTGGTGGCGGTTTGCTGGCTACGTTCCAGCGTTCAGGTATTCTTTCCCACTGCGCAGTGGCTTCACAAGCCACAAGGAACAGCTTCGTCGCGGCGAGAAAAGTGGGAAAATTCATTCTGAACATCATGGTGATAACTTTTATAAACTATCAAACAGATAATGGTCGAGTTGGAGCTCATAAAATCAGCCCGCTTGCAAAGACGGGTTGGCATCCAGCCGAGTTCTGTTACGCCACTACAACCCGCGTGCGAAAACGGCACTTGACCAGACCTTAGTCGTTGATGGTATGCAGCTTGTTCATCCTTGCACAATTCCTTGCCAAGCTATCGACTCGCCATGGCAACCCAACAAGGATCTTTTCCACACCACCCCGGGGATTAACAGGTGAACCGAAAAGCGGCACTCCGCTTCTTCACCCAACACTCATCAATCTTATTCCGACAAGTACACACTACCTTTTTATCTTTACTCTTTTCTGACCTTTTCTACGCCGAGGATACTAGGAGGTATTCAAAATAAGAAGCATGGAGTATGTGAGTGAATCAAGACAAAAATTCACTTTATAAGAGTGTGCCCCTGATTGTTGATAAAAGGAACACAAACGACGCTATGGCCGACTGGACTATGACAGGCGCAAAAGCATCAATACCTGGCTTACGCGATATTTTCTATCCCCTTGGTGCATCCTGAAGGATCTTATCCTGGTCAGTTTCGCTATACCAGGACTGGTGACGATGCTGAGCCCGACCACGATATGTAATAGCAGAGAAATTATAAATGATTCAAACAGCCAAAGCAGACAAGCTGCTTTGGGGAGCTGCAATTGCGGAACCACTCTTGCCGAGGCACGCGCAATGGGCTGCAAGTACGACTCTCTCGCCGCGGCCTGGTTGCCAGCGCAATGTCGAGACGAGCAGCTCACTATTGAGTTCGAAAACTTGGGTGATGGCCCTCACGGCAGCTGGCGATATTGGACCGACTCGAACCACACATTGGAGATATCTCCAGGAGAAATAGGGAACCACGTGGACGATTACAGCTTCAGGTTCTACTCAACCGCGGAATGGCATATAGCACACTGCATTTTTTACTGGAGAAACCAATTTCGGTCTTAATTCAACGGAGTCCTAGTTGAGCCTCGATATGACAGTGAGAAGCAAATTAATCACTGCGGCAGTCTGTTTCTTGCCCGAAGCTCGAAAGGAGTCATGTCTGGTATTAGATTAGAATCCGATTACCTTTGAATGACTTTGATTGATGCTTTTGCGCAGCGGCAATTCCATGGACAACTACTGGACGACGACACGTCAATGTACTACTTGGTCTATTGTGGTATCTTGTTGTCGATTTCTAGCAGTCATGAGCAAGAATATGTCCCTCATACTTTCCTACTTTCCAGATCCCTACCCCATACCTCATATCTGTTGGTTGAACAGGGTGATGTTCAGAGGCTGTTGGTCACGATAGTTGCCCAGTAGAGCTCGATCTAGTGTTCGGATTCATGGTCACGGCAGGGTATTAAAAGGGTCAATTTTCGGGGTTTTACGGTGTTGAACAAAGAATTGAATCCATCATCAATATCGTCGAGTTAGTTGAATTGAGGCCCCCAAAGGCCTCCCCAATAACCACTGACCTTTTCCACTGTGTAAATTGCTGATTTATTTCCAATCCAACAATATCAGCTACGATAGGGTGGGACAGTTACCCATCTGTTCCCGTTCTGAACACTCACTACCCGAACGGGGCCAGTACATAAAGATTGGTTGGGGATGCGGGTATGTTTCACTGACCAGACTTGTCTTGTCCGACGGCAGCCATCTCAGCCGTGCGATGTTACCTCGCCTCGTCTGCGTGAAACGTGATACATACGGAGTACTTGTGTGCTTGTCTACGACAGGACTTTTGTGCGATGGCCTGATGAGTGAGCCAACATGCAGATCCAAAATGTCGTCCATGACAGATCTGCAACGCCAGCCAATGTAAGCCCACAACCCCGCCTCAGTCTGTCCAGTACCAGACATATGCAGGCCTTGCAAGCGGGCAGAACTTGTTGGGTCTGGTGGTGGAAATATTTGATGGGTTTGGGCCCGGCCGAACCTTTCGGACTACTACCTCCGACATGCAGATGAGGTATTCAGGCACGGTCTTTCATCCAGTCAGATGGCTGTATCTGTCGCACACTCCTGGATGTCATACAGTGCTCGGAATCAAGATACGTATCGTATCTGGTACCCGAGAATTGTGCGGTGTGGTTCACCCAAGTAGGAGCCCCAGCCTCGCACATCCCTTCACCCCCATCAGGAGAAGCGTCAGCACAAGGCTGCATGTGTAGTTTTAACATGGCTGGGTGCAAATTTCAGCATGAGCCATCATCTTCCGCGGTCGTAAAGCTCTCAAATTACATGCTCCTTTGCCCCTACAACTAGTGGCGACACAGAGAGAGACCATCGCTACTATCCGCAAACCTTTTGCCATCAAATTCGTCAGCGCCAGACCTGCAAGCATGGTAGTCTCTGCCATGGCAAAATGTTACCACTTGTACCCAAAGATTGGCCAAGCATCATTTGCTCAGCAGTCCATGCTATCCTAGCCTGTCATGCGTTCGTCACCAGCGCAGCTGCTTTCAATCCACACATCTCTGCTCAACGCAGCCATGTATCGACCGTCTCAAAAAGCAGATATCAAAGCTCGACTAGGCTCTCTCTTGTGCTTTCCTCTGTCGGAGCTGTCATTGCTGCCGCAGGACCAGGGTTCACTGTCGACCATGTATCAACTTGTATCGAAAAGGAGAACCAAGAATCATGGTGTGCCTGGCCACAAGTAAGCGACTCCAACCAAGATTGCTTTGGCCTGGAGTTCTGACGTTCTTTTCAAGGTGTTCAACTGGAGCCTTCAATTGTGCTACCTTGTATCCAGCATGATAACTGCCGACAGGTACGCGACCTCCTTTCGCGTAGCTGTATCCGGGGCTGCCTCCAGCATCATGTTGCTTGCCCAACAAGCGACTTTTTTTCTGACGCAAAGTCAACAGCTGAAACAAGGAGAATATTGGAGGCTGCGGCAAGTAGCAGGACTTTTTTTACAAACTGTAGGCTTTCTTTTGCATCCTCAGCACCCGGATATGTCTACTTCAGGGAAACCAACTGCCCGAATCTCCACTGCCCACTTGCTTGACCTGTTGACATTCTCATGGGAAAGAAAATTATTCCACAAGTTGCGAGAGTCTTCTACAAGCAAGGATAAACTGCCACTACTCGGCCGTTCTCTTCACACGGGTCATTTAATGCGTAATTTGCCTGATTACCGATCTGATCAAAAGCTTTGGACTTGGCTGCTTCAGGTCTACTCTCCGCAGCTCCTGAAGCAATGGGTTCTTGTCGCCATGAAAGCTGTGACGCAACTTGTGCCACAATATGCGCTCTTTCACTTGCTGCAAGCCTTGGAGCAAAACCAATTGGATCGAAGCGTTACTCTTTATAGCGTCTTGTACGGTCTTAGTCTCCTTGCAGAAGTTTGGATACGAGAGCTGGTGCAGTGGTTTACCATGTCCCAATTCCAAATTCCTATGCAAGCCGTGTTGAGCTCACTCGTATACCGCAAAACTTTAAAGTTGCCAAACTTCAGCGAGGGTCAGCCCGAAGACAGGAGTTCTCAACAGCAGTCTCGCCAAGATCCACCGAGCTTGACAAAGTCTATTGACAATCATTTACAACTTGATACGTGAGTCTTATCTTGGTAAGCACCAACTTGGATGCGTGGCTAAAGCTGCGCAACTAGTGGCAAAGTTTCGGCTGTCTGCAGCCAGAACATACTGATCCCCCTATCATTTATCAAGTTATTTTTCACGGTGATGGCCTTGGCACAACTGATTGGATGGCAAGCTATAACATTGACCATCATCTGTACAATTGTTACAACAGCGCTCAACTTCAAAATCTCGGCAACCTACTCCAAGTCCTACCATGGTTTGATGAAGTATCGAGACCAGAGGTCCAACTTGCTCTCGGAAGCACTGCAAGGTATCCGTGATATACGTCTTGGAGTATTTGAATCCCAATGGGAGAATAGACTCCTGGATATTCGGCGGGGGGAGATGGACCAGATGCGGCGGAGCTCAGTTACCATGTGCATCGTCGTCGTCTTGGCCAATATCTGCCCCCTGATACTAGGCATTCTACCCATTGCCCTGTATTCATACCGAACCGGGAGTTTGACAGCCTCAATTGCGTTTACATCCCTGGGATTACTACAAAAGCTTCAAGCTGACCTTGCTGTACTGCCGTTGACATGGTCATATCTCTTGGAGTGTTGGGCTAGTTGCGAGAGACTAGAAGCTTTCCTGAAGCTACCAGAGAAACAAGACGCCATTGTGCCATCGGAATCCGTCGCTTTTAAAGATGCGACAGTTTCATGGCCATCCAACCCCTTTGGAGGCGCGCGGTCGTCAACCTTTTCCCTCAACAACTTGTCTTTACAGTTTCCGCGTGGTAAGCTGTCAATTATAGCCGGCGGAACCGGGTCAGGCAAGAACCTCGTGTTGAATGCAATTTTAGGCGAAGCAGACGTAGTGTCTGGCTCTATTCATGCACCCTGTAGCAACGGTCAGGCCACTACCTTGCCCACATCATCTCCGGTTGCGGTTGTGTCTCAGCCGACATGGCTAGAGCGTACGTCACTCATGGAGAACATCTTATTTGGCTGTTCGTATGATCCAGCGAGGTATTTTGACGTTGTCAAAGCTTGTGCGTTGGACACAGATGTCCGAAATTTGCCCAATGGCGATGCAACTGATGTCGGCCCCAAGGGAACATCATTAAGCGGAGGGCAACGCTGGAGGGTGTGTTTGGCTAGAGCACTATATTCGAAAGCTAGCACTATATTAATTGGAGATATTCTATCAGCCATCGACTCATCGGTTCGAAAACATGTCTTGGAACAGGCATTGCTTGGCCAACTTGCACGGGGAAGGACGTTGATCATGGTCACCCATCACGTTGCCATGTGCCAGCCATTTGCAAGTTTTGTTATGCATCTTTCCAATCGGCAGGCACTAGGCACAAAAACCGAGAAGCTCGAAACCAGCATGAAGTCAGTACAACCTGTCACCGCCATTGAAGGCGCCGGGAC